ATATCATTGATAGGTATCAGTAATATCAATGACAATCATTCCGTTTTTTTATTTTTTTAAATTTAAAACGCGTGGTAATGTATCAGACATATTTTGAAGGGTCTATCTGTAGACAAAAATGTTGTTCATAATTTATATTTGATTCGATATATACTGGCGATTTTTCTTACAGTTTGAAAGAAATAGGGTTTAACGTTTAACGGAATAAAAGCCTATCCTATCTTATCATACCCTATCACCTAGTACGTGTGCTAGGCAGACGTTGTTCTGCCCTTTTCGATGACCCTTTGTCATGTCCTATTAAAAAGGCTTAAATTCGCAAAAAAGATGTTGTGGGTGAAAGAACCGTCCTATCTCTCAAGTTGGACCAAACTGCACACGGTGTGCAAATTTGATTAAAATTGGTTAAGTAGAAGTCTATCGCGGATAAACAACGTGACACGTAATTTACATATTAAGAGATAAAAATTATAATAGCTGTAACTTTACTTTACCTATACATATATATATATATATATATATATATATGTATATATATATATATATATATATATATATATATATAGGGAAGGTAATGTAAGAATATTTAGCTTTTTAACGAGAGGTCTACATGATTCCATTTGACCAACACCGCATATAGATCTTATACATCTCTTCTGTAGTATAAATACACGAGAAATGTGTGTCGAATTTCCCCACAGAATCAGTCCATACCTAATTTTGACTGCATTATTGAAAATTAAATAATAATCAATCTAAGCAACGACAACTCAACTAATTGTACTGAAAGTGATTGAATAAATATATTTTTAATCTAGTTTCAATCTTAAATTTTTCTAAATTTGCCGCTTGAAATAAACAGTAACAACAAATACGAAGAAACTGATAAATCTTGTGTTTTAATTATCCGTTTTTAATTTATTCTCGTATTATTCCTCCAAAACTGGTAATGCTTACAAACGCTAAATAATCGATATCGATTTTTTTTTTAAATCGAATATTGTACGTTCCCGTTTTTTGGTTGACACGCTTGGTGCAATAAGTCTGACAGCTGTCAAAATGTATTTCTTAGATTTGGTTAATTCCCCCCCGAACGGGTTCCCGCCTTGTCGTGGCGGGGGCGCTTAGTAGCCGTGGCTTGGTCTCCCACGGTGAACAAAGAGGAACCCACGTGGCTGGCCCGAGGTGAAGGGCCGGCCTGAGGTGGCCGCTCCGAGTGGGCTTGGGGAGCCCACTTCGGATGTGTGCTGGTGGACTGCAGCGAGTGGGGACTCGCGCACCCTCTACCGCTGCAGTCGAGGTGGAGTCGCGGAGGAAGAGGAGTGTTGGTATGGCGATGCGCCACTCGCCCTATCCTTCGCGACTCAAACGGGGCCGCACCGTTGATGCGGTGGTGGTGGGGCTGCGGGGGGAGAGGATTGTCGGTATTGCGAGGCGCCGCTCTCCCTACCCTCCGCAGCCGAATCTTGGTTGGCGGCGGAGCCATAGACCAGATCCGCCGCTGGGGTCGGGAAGGCTAGTACTTCTAAGTGCTCGTTTTTCCTGGCCCCATGGCCTTTGTGCATCGGACGCGGGTGCGTCTGTTGCACAGACGTAGTTGGAGGCCGTGGAGGAAGGCGCGCCATGGGTTCTGGTGTGCCTTACCTGGGAAGGAGAACGGGGAGGAATTTTCCTCTCCCGAGGAGGTGCTGCCATGGGGCGGCAGGCGCTAGTAGGGCCGCGGATGTGTGCGAAAGCGTTCCCGTAGCCCTGCCAATATGCGACAAAGGTGGAACACCATGGGGTTTTAGTCGGTGCAAGTCCGACATAACCCGTCCTTGCCCCCGCGAGGCGGGTATGCGTAGGCATTTCCCCATGCAAAAAAAAAAAAAAAAGATTTGGTTAATTATAATTGTTGTGTTAACGCTTCTTCCGTCTAGCTTTGCTATTTTACTTTCCCAGCCATTGCGGGTGGTGCTCTCCCCTTGCATATATACGTTCGAGATCACAGGTCAAGGTTGCTCTACTTCATTAAATATATAACTTATTAATTTTTTTTCCAAAAATATTTCTTTTACTTCTGTCGTGGTAGTATCATTTTTTACATTTTTATATTTCATAAATGTCGATTTTAGTAATGTTTATACGGGTTGTAGGTTTAAAAGCGCATATTCAAATATGTCCAAGTCGAAATCTACGCGATCGCTTTGAAACGGCGTAATATTGACGTACACTACAATGTTATCTCTGTGTGCATGTCAGGGCGAGCGCGAGGCTAATTACCTTTAGTTGCACGAATCATTTTGATTGATTGGAACTAAAAGAAATATGTATAAAATGTAAATTTGCACCATTACATCATTTAATATTTAAATATTTCCATTACCATAAACATATTTTAAAATTACTTACTACCAAAAATATCGCTGATAAAAGTCTCAATCGTTTAAAATGCTCGATAGTACTATAGTTAGCTAGTTGTAGTATAGTGTAGTATAGCCCTATCGGTGTATCAATGCGATCACGCGGTGTCGGTGAGAAAAAGTAATACGTCCTATCGTTGGGATTACGTGTTTGTAGTACCAAAGTGTAGTGTAGTATTTTTAGTAACTAACAGGGTCGTAGGACCATTGAAAAATTCGTTTCCGAAATTAAGCAACTTTTCATAAATTAATTTTAGGCAACAGCGTTGTAACCGATTCAGTAATATGCGCGGTCGTGATAATTTATACAAAAATAACTATAATCAGAATTACAACCATCATGGTCACCCTAGCAACTCGACTACTCGTAATCATAATAATACGCCTCGTACGGAACTGGTCCGATATAGTTTTCGCGGTAGATTCCAGCGTGGACCCCAGAAAGGTCGGCATACAAATCACTCATCCTCTAATTCATATTCGAGACGTGTTCTTCAAACACAATCAGAGCAAAGCCCGCAGTAGAGAAGAAGTGCACTCAAAACGAACCGAGCGAGTAGCGAGTTTCTTTTTTCCTAGAGAGTAGAGATAACTTTGTTTTATCTTAAATAAGTAGCTTTGTTTTAAATAAATAGCTCTCATAGTGATCTTGTATTTTGTTATATAATACACTAATATTATAACTCTAGCAATTCTTTTGGATCAATGTAAAAGTAATATTAACAATTATTAAAATTCAAAATTATCATTTAAAACTTCGTTCATTTTACTGGCATTAATATCCATATACGACAATAATATTTTAAACAAATTAAGTTGAAATTAAGTATAATCATTCTTGTAGTCCTTATCAGTCCAGTTCTTTGTAATCCTCATCATCGTTGCAGCGTCTTTCTACTATCTTATAAGTAAAGTGTCCGTAAAGTTCGTGTGTTTACTACGACCTATTATGTGCACCGAAATTAATTGAATGCGTGTACTTACTACACAATATATATGTATAAAGTTACAGCCTATGTACGTCCCACTGGCACAGGCCTCCCCTCATTTCTGAGAGGGTTTTAGGGCAAGGAAGTATCCGCCGCGCTGCCCCAATGCGTGTTGGCGAACTTCACTGGTCTTTGAAATATTTTTTTTCTTATTCCTCAGACATGCAGGTTTCCTCACGATGTTTTCCTTTACCGCCGAGCACGTGGTAAATATATATATATATATGGTGTGCGAGGACCAGCCTATGACTGGATAAGGAGCTATCTCAATGAAAGGACTAGGTTTGTGGAAGTATCGAGGCTGGATGATGGGTGTCTGAGTGTGACGTACAGATCGGAGATTAGGGGGAATAACTCAGGTGTCCCATGGGGCAGTATATTGGGACCATTACTCTTCGTTATTTACATCAATGACCTTCCAAAATGTACGCAATTTCCTGTTACACTATATGCTGACGATATTTCTATAACTATACATAAGAAACCTAACACTGACTATAATGATGAAATAAATAATGAAATAAGAAATATAACGAATTGGCTAAAATATAATGATTTGAAAATTAATATTAATAAAACAAAATACATACAATTTTACAATAAAAATGGGAAAACTCAGCAACTATCGGTACACTATGGTAATGATCCCATTGCCATGACCGCTTCAACGACCTTTCTCGGTATTGTGATTGATTCCGAACTTACATGACAGAATCACGTTGAAACTGCATGCCAGAGGATTAACAGGTTTGTTTTCACTCTGTATCGTCTGTCAAAGTTAGCCAACCTTAAGACAGCTCTGATGGCTTACCATGGATACGTCGGTTCTATACTGAGGTATGGACTGATTCTGTGGGGAAATTCGACACACATTTCTCGTGTATTTATACTACAGAAGAGATGTATAAGATCTATATGCGGTGTTGGTCAAATGGAATCATGTAGACCTCTCGTTAAAAAGCTAAATATTCTTACATTACCTTCCCTATATATATATATATATACGAAATTTTAACATTGACGAAAAAAAATGCTAAACTCTTCACAAAACAACATAATGATCGTTGTGATACAAGAAGGTACCCGTGGAAGTTATCTGTGCCCCAGACAGCCACAACTTGTTTTGCTAGAAATAGTTGTAGCATGTGCGTTCAACTATTTAATTTACTTCCGAACCATATTCAAAACTTGACATTTAAACTTTTTAAATAAATTATTTTCGGGATTCTGATTGAAAATTGTTTTTATGACATAAATGAATTTATCAAATTCTGCCGTGACGGTTACCTCAAGCGAATTGTTGTTGATGTATGAAATTTTAAATTGACAAATGATTTAGAGTTTGTAAGATTGACATTATGCATTATGATATGACCATGCCTGTATATTTTTTCTTTCTTTTACTGTTATTCAAATTAAGATGAAATAATATTGTAATTTTGTATTTTTCTAATTTTAATTAAGAAATTTCACGTTAACGTAAAATTTGCATACCGATGAACTGGTAAAACGTGAATACACACTATGTTATAAGACCTAAAAATGTACCATGTTTTATGCAAATAAATATTTATTATTATATATAGGTGTATGTATATCAACAACTCACCGAAAACAACGACTGAGGCCCACATGGCAGACATGACGACGTTTTTCGGCTGCACCATTGAGTTGGCGGACGAGCTGTCGAGCTTCGGGTCGGCGAGTGGCTGGTTGTAGGTGGCCAGCGAGTGCGCGGCTCGCGGCGCACCGAGCGGCGCGGCGGACAACGCCCCGAGCAGCGCCGCCAGCAGGCTCAGCGCTGCTGGCGCCGCGTGCCGCACCCGCGTCGTGAACAGCACCTGCAGCATCACCGCGCCCGCATTCATAACGCGAACGGAATATCTTAAATTGTACCCAGCCTTAGCTAACCATGACATTGCGACGTCCAAACACAACAGTCCCCCGTCACCATTAGAACTATAAAATAATTGAAGCGTCGAGAATATAAAATAAGTTGATATACTCAATGCAGTCCGTAAAACTTAGTTTCATTCAATGTGTTTACGTATACATAAATCATTAAAGCAAAGGAAATGCCTATGTGCCCCGCGGTCTTAAAAATCACTAATATGTGATATAAAAGTTTGGAAAAGAGCAGAAGACGAAGGAGGTCGACGGTCTTAAAAAAAAGCATTAACACGAAATAAAAGATGATGCACGTCGGACCACGGAGTGAGTAGACGTCGTACAGCAAACTCACCTCTGTACTTCGACACAGACTCAGATCAGCCGAAAAGCGAAGGTCGCGCTTATAGTTCCCTCGGTAGTAGAGTCCTACCGAAGCATCGAATTCAGCAATAAAACCACCTTCGGCTTCTCATAACACGGGAAAACCATTTTTTGGTACGATATTATTAAAATCTCCCCCACACAAACTTCAAATTGAATGAAAGTCACTTGTGACATAGAAATTAATGAACTCATACACATTTATTTTAAGTCACTGTCATTTACAAGTCCACTGATAAACATAGGCCTTCCCCAAGGATTGCCACAAAGTACAGTCCTAAACCACCTGCATCCAGATCGTCACTCCATCTAATGTGGGGCGACTCTACACTTTGCTGCTAACCAATACGATGCTGCCACTTGAGAACCTTTCTTTCCCATCGATTCTCGAATCTTCCAGCTATATGTCCGGCTCTTTACCAATTCAGCTTACTAATCTGTTATGATCACCCGCGGTCAAATTATCAACAGTACCCAATATTAATCATTATCATTACAATTTATTAAAAGTCACAGGGACAATATTTGCTGCAGTTGCACGTCGGAAAGCACAGTTTTTATTTTTTATTGTTATTGTTGCCCATACGCTTGTTTGTTTCCTTCCGTCGCTGCTCACGACACACACACAACACGGATATTCTTCACTGCGACTGCACGCTCAAGCCGTTACATTAAATTATTCATAAAAAAATTACAAGTAATTTCATAACGATATACAAAAATAAACTAACTTTACCTTAGCGTCCGTATCGTTGAGTTCAATCCCAACCAAGTATTTGTTGTATTCTACGATGTCCTTTTTACCATAGGCAAGTAAGGCTGAAAGACAATTTAGGTATTATTTTTATTCTTTAATGTCAATAATAAAGAAATATGTTTTTTTTATAGAAGAGGGGCAAACGCCATGCGGCTCACCGGATGGTGTCTACCGCCGCCCATGAACAACCGCAATACCAGGGAAATCGCATCAGGTCTAGCGACTTCCCCTTTTATACTAATGAATTGGGAGTTTCAAACTGTTCTTAAAAAGTTATACATCCATCCCATTACGGCCTACAAAAGTTTACAGGTGAACATAGATCTCCCCATACCTTATCTCATAGGGGGAACTTCGCCGTAGCTAGCACGCTTGGCAAGTGAGTTGGCAGCCGCAGTGTTTTATTATTTTGAGTTGTTGTCAGGAAGATGCTGCTGCCCATCTCCTGTTTCAATTTCCTTCATCATCTAGAGAGTCAAGAAGGAGAGGCTTGCCCAAGTACCACGTACATCTCTCGAGAGTAAGGTTGGCGCGGCCTTGGAGGTAGAGGTATACGACCTCTTACGACACCAACGGGACGAAAAGGGGTAGTCTTTCGTTTTCAAGTGAGTGCAGGAATTGCATAACTTAATTTCTTTCTCTCCATTCCATCATCGGACAAACAAACGTTCGAGCGATCTCCACCCTTATTTGTCGACATGCCACGCATACGAACCAAAAGCTTCATTATATTTCAAGGATTTTCTGATGGGTCGTCAGCAACAAGTTAAAATAAACAAATACATCAGCTCAGACGTGACTGTAAATAAGGCAGTGTGCTCGTTCCTAGCCTATTTCTTGTATCCATAAACGATCTGTGTCAAATGTCACTACATGAAGGCAAAATTTTCACATATGCAGATGATACAGCTTCCCGGTCCCAGTAGAGCCTGGCGCGGTCATTTTCAATACGGCAGTTTCCGATCCACGAGACCGTATTTCAGAGCGAGCTCTTGGTGTAGAATTCTGGCTACTAGGTTGTGCCTGTGCAAGTACTCAGAGTTAGAAAGAGCCGAACAACCGGAGATGACATGCCTGAGTGACTCACTGGGATGGCGACAAGCTCGACAGACGTCGACGGTGCCATCCTTTAGGATGTATCTCCGATAGTTGTTGGTCTTAATAACCTGATCCTGTATTGCACAGACAAAACCCTCGGTTTCCCCCGAAGAGGTCACCGAAACGTAGCCAGTTGAGGGAGGCGACTGTATCTACAAAGGGCTCATGTAGAGCCCTGTAGTACCTCCCGTGGAGCTCCTTCTCCTTCCATACAGTCTCCCGGTCGGAAATGCTACGCACTGCTGGGTCCTGCCATTGCTCATTGGCTAAGGATAGAGGGGTAAGCCCTTTATCACTAGAAATGACGTCATTGTAGAATGGATCATCCAATCTTGCCAGGAAGTAATGACGGAGGCTGCACACTTCGCGATTATGCATGGTGAGCGCACTCAGAAAGCCACGCCCACCATGCTTTCGCGGCAAGTACAGCCTCATTACTGACGATCTCGGATGATGCATCCTATGGGACGTCATGGTAGTGCGGACTTTTCTATCCAGGGCGTTAAGTTTAGTTTGAGTCTACCTGAGTATGCCAAAGGTATACATGAGGACAGTCATGACCCAACCGTTATATGCGTGTGTCTTATTCACACCGGACAAAAGGCTGTTGATCACTTTGGTCAAACGTGCATTAAACACGTCGCAAACTGTTTCATACCAGCCTCATCGATACCGATGTTCTGTAACATACCCAGGTATTGGTATCTTTCAGCCTTGGAAAGAGTCCTTAAGTTGACGGGCATAGATAAATCTATGCCCTCAGAGTTAGCAACCCTTCCCCTTTCAACATGGAGGACCGCACACTTATCCGTTCCCAGCTCCAAGTGATGTTTAGCAATTCCATGAGATGGGAGCGACTGGAGGCGAATAACTTGAGGTCATCCATATAGAAAAGGCGGGTCACTTTTGTCCCTCCTTTCCGTAGCTGAAATCCCCTCCCGGATCCCTCCAGTAAGGTGCTGAGAGGGTTCAGAGAGAGGCAGAACCAGATTGGACTCAGACAATCGCCCTGGAAGATACCCCTTCTTATCCTTATGTGATGCTCCGCAGCCATCATCCGCTCGCCCAGATGACAAAGGATCGTACTCCAGTGCCCCATACACTGCTCGAGGAAGTCTCTCACTGTACAGTCTATCTTGTACAGCTCGAGGACTCTCTTTAGCCATGCATGGGGCACAGAGTCGAACGCCTTTCCGTAGTCTATCCAGGCGGCGGAGAAGTTCCGACGGTTGTGTTTCACCACTTTGCCAATGACCGGCTCCACCGGGGTAGAACCACGCTCTCACAGAATACTACCAGCGTGAAATAGCAGCTAAAGGCTGTTGTGTTTTGTATGGCGAGTGTAGAGAACCGGAGACCTCTTTTTACTGGAAACGAGGCATTCAATCGTAGTCCCCAGAGGTGACGACGTATCTTCATTTTGATTCCTGATCGAGGATAAATGTAGATGTCTATGGGCCACACCTTCACTTACCATCAGGTGGACTGTGTGCTCGTTTGTCACCCTTATTCCATAAAATAGTATTCTTATAAAATCTTATTATTATATCATGGGAAAGCTACATGGTCCATGAAAATTAGCTTACATAAGCGTCAACGTGTAGGAACATAAAAAATTTGTAGGTCTAAAGCAACGCCATGTCCAACTTATTGTATGAACACGCAGATTACACATATTGCATGTGCATTTAAAATTGCAAACACCATAGTTAAAGGTGCATGTGTGCAGCAATGCGGCACACATACGTACACCTAAACTACGGACTAATAAACAAAGAAAGACAACAGATGTGTGCGTTAGTCTGTGACAAGGAGTCGAATCACTTGAAAAGTACGCAACGCTCCGCCAGTTGTTCTTTGCTGATCAGAGAGATTATATTAGTCCAGTTATACCAGTCCAGAACCAGAAATAGGAACAAAAACCAATAGTATGTTTTCAAAAAGAGTTTCAGAACTCACAAGCGACAACATCGTCTGTTTTTTCAAAGACGACGTCATTATAATGGTCGGTGAGAGTCCTCAGTGCGATGTCGGAGGTGTTGATGTTGTACAGTACGCGTCGCTCCGGCAAATCCTCATACAGGCTCAAATCCATCAATGCAACAGGGTTGCGTTTGACATCGTTGCTCGAGTCGTTCGATATGTATGTAAAGACGGCCAACGTGAGGATTGGCATGATCACTAGCTGGAATAAAAAAAAAATATTAAAACCAAAAAGGAATTGGATCGTGTTTTTCAGAAATGATCCAATCCAAAAATTGGCCAAAACAACGATCTAGAGGCACTTTTATCGGTCTATATCCAAGTTATATACGTGGTAGAGCCATGCTGCAGATATATTAGTAGTATAGTTGTAGCACGAATGGGTCGGCTCGACCGGGGAAGGACCACGCTCTCACAGAATACCAGCGTGAAATAGTAGCTTAATGCTGCTGTATTTCGTATGGTAAGTGTAGAGAACCGAAGACCCTTATTACTGGAAACGAGGCATTCCATCTTAGTCCACACAGGTGACAACGCATCTGCATTTTGATTTGTAATCGAGGATACATGTAGATGTCTATGGGCCACAGCAACCACTTACCATCTGGTGGACTGTGTGCTCGTTTGGCACCCTATCCTATAAATAAAAAGTAGGAAAGACTTCTGGAAAATAACAAGTAATTCCAAATCTATATTATATTTTCTTTAAAATAACATGCGTAACAAGATATAATAGGATTTCGCACAATAGAAGAACACATTTATACACAACGCAAATCCAAATAACTTGTATGTTTTTGTGGGTTGAAACATATCTGCATAACACCGTCCAATTTGCAGATTAAATATAATTGACATTGGATTTATTCCTAAAAAACCTGTCTATGCTACTGAGTTGAGTAATGTCCATTAGTAAGTGACAATAATTTTCCATAATAGTAGATAATGCAGTATAAGCAATCTTTAGAAGCGACAGTAGCCTAATGACAGGGCGCGGACTGCGAACTCAAAAAGGTCGTGGGTTCGAATTCGCCATTCGACTACTGGCGTGAAACACTCGTAACACAAGCAATTTAAGCTTACCACGAGTGGTTAAGGGGAATATTAGTAATGTTTATAGCATTATTAATATTCTTTTTAAAAAATCTACTTTATATTAGATTATATTTTTTACAGTACAAAAATTGCCTTTGCCATTATGTATGGATGGTTGTCTGTTTATTTAAAGTGGCCTCCAACTTCACACTTCGCTACAAATTAAAAGGAAACATAAATAAAATTTTGAAAATCTCTTTCAAAATCTTTTATAGCAATTAATAATATTAGGTATAATAATAATATATTGTCGACGTGATATCGATAACATAAAGTATTGAATGAAAAGTGAATGGAGGAGTAATAGGAATGGGACCTAAATTTATTCTATTTGGTAAGTCACGTGATTGCCATATCACAATGTTGCATTACTATCTATTTAATACGCAAACGTAACACTCATCCGGAAAACTTACGTACGTACGTACTTAGCCCTGAAGTGAAATTGCTCACAGTAAAACAACACAGCTCAAAATATAATAAATAGCTTAGCAGTGAAGTATGGCTACAGCACATACATACACATAGCACTAGATCTTACAGGTAGCTGTGATGCACTACACTCTCTCACTACTCTCACAAACACATATAAAAAAGCCCCTATTTTAATGAACGGTAGTGAGTCGAAAATCAAAATCTTAACCTTTAGAAATTAGGTCATTCAGAAGTACGATAGGGTTAGAAATTGTGTGGCAAGATAAAAATGTAGTTTGCAACAGTAGTCACTAGGATTCAGAAAGGAATGCTCCGATGTATGGAGTGTAGAGGTAAGGAGTACAGACTCTGTATAAAAATATGGTTTGCAACAGTAGTCACTAGGATTCAGAAAGGAATGCTCCGATGTATGGAGTGTAGAGGTAAGGAGTACAGACTCTGTATAAAAATATGGTTTGCAACAGTAGTCACTAGGATTCAGAAAGGAATGCTCCGATGTATGGAGTGTAGAGGTAAGGAGTACAGACTCTGTATAAAAATATGGTTTGCAACAGTAGTCACTAGGATTCAGAAAGGAATGCTCCGATGTATGGAGTGTAGAGGTAAGGAGTACAGACTCTGTATAAAAATATGGTTTGCAACAGTAGTCACTAGGATTCAGAAAGGAATGCTCCGATGTATGGAGTGTAGAGGTAAGGAGTACAGACTCTGTATAAAAATATGGTTTGCAACAGTAGTCACTAGGATTCAGAAAGGAATGCTCCGATGTATGGAGTGTAGAGGTAAGGAGTACAGACTCTGTATAAAAATATGGTTTGCAACAGTGGTCACTAGGATTCAGAAAGGAATGCTCCGATGTATGGAGTGTAGAGGTAAGGAGTACAGACTCTGTATAAAAATATGGTTTGCAACAGTAGTCACTAGGATTCAGAAAGGAATGCTCCGATGTATGGAGTGTAGAGGTAAGGAGTACAGACTCTGTATAAAAATATGGTTTGCAACAGTAGTCACTAGGATTCAGAAAGGAATGCTCCGATGTATGGAGTGTAGAGGTAAGGAGTACAGACTCTGTATAAAAATATGGTTTGCAACAGTAGTCACTAGGATTCAGAAAGGAATGCTCCGATGTATGGAGTGTAGAGGTAAGGAGTACAGACTCTGTATAAAAATATGGTTTGCAACAGTAGTCACTAGGATTCAGAAAGGAATGCTCCGATGTATGGAGTGTAGAGGTAAGGAGTACAGACTCTGTATAAAAATATGGTTTGCAACAGTAGTCACTAGGATTCAGAAAGGAATGCTCCGATGTATGGAGTGTAGAGGTAAGGAGTACAGACTCTGTATAAAAATATGGTTTGCAACAGTAGTCACTAGGATTCAGAAAGGAATGCTCCGATGTATGGAGTGTAGAGGTAAGGAGTACAGACTCTGTATAAAAATATGGTTTGCAACAGTAGTCACTAGGATTCAGAAAGGAATGCTCCGATGTATGGAGTGTAGAGGTAAGGAGTACAGACTCTGTATAAAAATATGGTTTGCAACAGTAGTCACTAGGATTCAGAAAGGAATGCTCCGATGTATGGAGTGTAGAGGTAAGGAGTACAGACTCTGTATAAAAATATGGTTTGCAACAGTAGTCACTAGGATTCAGAAAGGAATGCTCCGATGTATGGAGTGTAGAGGTAAGGAGTACAGACTCTGTATAAAAATATGGTTTGCAACAGTAGTCACTAGGATTCAGAAAGGAATGCTCCGATGTATGGAGTGTAGAGGTAAGGAGTACAGACTCTGTATAAAAATATGGTTTGCAACAGTAGTCACTAGGATTCAGAAAGGAATGCTCCGATGTATGGAGTGTAGAGGTAAGGAGTACAGACTCTGTATAAAAATATGGTTTGCAACAGTAGTCACTAGGATTCAGAAAGGAATGCTCCGATGTATGGAGTGTAGAGGTAAGGAGTACAGACTCTGTATAAAAATATGGTTTGCAACAGTAGTCACTAGGATTCAGAAAGGAATGCTCCGATGTATGGAGTGTAGAGGTAAGGAGTACAGACTCTGTATAAAAATATGGTTTGCAACAGTAGTCACTAGGATTCAGAAAGGAATGCTCCGATGTATGGAGTGTAGAGGTAAGGAGTACAGACTCTGTATAAAAATATGGTTTGCAACAGTAGTCACTAGGATTCAGAAAGGAATGCTCCGATGTATGGAGTGTAGAGGTAAGGAGTACAGACTCTGTATAAAAATATGGTTTGCAACAGTAGTCACTAGGATTCAGAAAGGAATGCTCCGATGTATGGAGTGTAGAGGTAAGGAGTACAGACTCTGTATAAAAATATGGTTTGCAACAGTAGTCACTAGGATTCAGAAAGGAATGCTCCGATGTATGGAGTGTAGAGGTAAGGAGTACAGACTCTGTATAAAAATATGGTTTGCAACAGTAGTCACTAGGATTCAGAAAGGAATGCTCCGATGTATGGAGTGTAGAGGTAAGGAGTACAGACTCTGTATAAAAATATGGTTTGCAACAGTAGTCACTAGGATTCAGAAAGGAATGCTCCGATGTATGGAGTGTAGAGGTAAGGAGTACAGACTCTGTATAAAAATATGGTTTGCAACATTAGTCACTAGGATTCAGAAAGGAATGCTCCGATGTATGGAGTGTAGAGGTAAGGAGTACAGACTCTGTATAAAAATATGGTTTGCAACATAGTCACTAGGATTCAGAAAGGAATGCTCCGATGTATGGAGTGTAGAGGTAAGGAGTACAGACTCTGTATAAAAATATGGTTTGCAACAGTAGGTCACTAGGATTCAGAAAGGAATGCTCCGATGTATGGAGTGTAGGGTAAGGAGTACAGACTCTGTATAAAAATATGGTTTGCAACAGTAGTCACTAGGATTCAGAAAGGAATGCTCCGATGTATGGAGTGTAGAGGTAAGGAGTACAGACTCTGTATAAAAATATGGTTTGCAACAGTAGTCACTAGGATTCAGAAAGGAATGCTCCGATGTATGGAGTGTAGAGGTAAGGAGTACAGACTCTGTATAAAAATATGGTTTGCAACATAGTCACTAGGATTCAGAAAGGAATGCTCCGATGTATGGAGTGTAGAGGTAAGGAGTACAGACTCTGTATAAAAATATGGTTTGCAACAGTGGTCACTAGGATTCAGAAAGGAATGCTCCGATGTATGGAGTGTAGAGGTAAGGAGTACAGACTCTGTATAAAAATATGGTTTGCAACAGTAGTCACTAGGATTCAGAAAGGAATGCTCCGATGTATGGAGTGTAGAGGTAAGGAGTACAGACTCTGTATAAAAATATGGTTTGCAACAGTAGGTCACTAGGATTCAGAAAGGAATGCTCCGATGTATGGAGTGTAGAGGTAAGGAGTACAGACTCTGTATAAAAATATGGTTTGCAACAGTAGTCACTAGGATTCAGAAAGGAATGCTCCGATGTATGGAGTGTAGAGGTAAGGAGTACAGACTCTGTATAAAAATATGGTTTGCAACAGTAGGTCACTAGGATTCAGAAAGGAATGCTCCGATGTATGGAGTGTAGAGGTAAGGAGTACAGACTCTGTATAAAAATATGGTTTGCAACAGTAGTCACTAGGATTCAGAAAGGAATGCTCCGATGTATGGAGTGTAGAGGTAAGGAGTACAGACTCTGTATAAAAATATGGTTTGCAACAGTGGTCACTAGGATTCAGAAAGGAATGCTCCGATGTATGGAGTGTAGAGGTAAGGAGTACAGACTCTGTATAAAAATATGGTTTGCAACAGTAGTCACTAGGATTCAGAAAGGAATGCTCCGATGTATGGAGTGTAGAGGTAAGGAGTACAGACTCTGTATAAAAATATGGTTTGCAACAGTGGTCACTAGGATTCAGAAAGGAATGCTCCGATGTATGGAGTGTAGAGGTAAGGAGTACAGACTCTGTATAAAAATATGGTTTGCAACAGTAGTCACTAGGATTCAGAAAGGAATGCTCCGATGTATGGAGTGTAGAGGTAAGGAGTACAGACTCTGTATAAAAATATGGTTTGCAACAGTAGTCACTAGGATTCAGAAAGGAATGCTCCGATGTATGGAGTGTAGAGGTAAGGAGTACAGACTCTGTATAAAAATATGGTTTGCAACAGTAGTCACTAGGATTCAGAAAGGAATGCTCCGATGTATGGAGTGTAGAGGTAAGGAGTACAGACTCTGTATAAAAATATGGTTTGCAACAGTGGTCACTAGGATTCAGAAAGGAATGCTCCGATGTATGGAGTGTAGAGGTAAGGAGTACAGACTCTGTATAAAAATATGGTTTGCAACAGTAGTCACTAGGATTCAGAAAGGAATGCTCCGATGTATGGAGTGTAGAGGTAAGGAGTACAGACTCTGTATAAAAATATGGTTTGCAACAGTAGTCACTAGGATTCAGAAAGGAATGCTCCGATGTATGGAGTGTAGAGGTAAGGAGTACAGACTCTGTATAAAAATATGGTTTGCAACAGTGGTCACTAGGATTCAGAAAGGAATGCTCCGATGTATGGAGTGTAGAGGTAAGGAGTACAGACTCTGTATAAAAATATGGTTTGCAACAGTGGTCACTAGGATTCAGAAAGGAATGCTCCGATGTATGGAGTGTAGAGGTAAGGAGTACAGACTCTGTATAAAAATATGGTTTGCAACAGTAGTCACTAGGATTCAGAAAGGAATGCTCCGATGTATGGAGTGTAGAGGTAAGGAGTACAGACTCTGTATAAAAATATGGTTTGCAACAGTGGTCACTAGGATTCAGAAAGGAATGCTCCGATGTATGGAGTGTAGAGGTAAGGAGTACAGACTCTGTATAAAAATATGGTTTGCAACAGTAGGTCACTAGGATTCAGAAAGGAATGCTCCGATGTATGGAGTGTAGAGGTAAGGAGTACAGACTCTGTATAAAAATATGGTTTGCAACAGTGGTCACTAGGATTCAGAAAGGAATGCTCCGATGTATGGAGTGTAGAGGTAAGGAGTACAGACTCTGTATAAAAATATGGTTTGCAACAGTGGTCACTAGGATTCAGAAAGGAATGCTCCGATGTATGGAGTGTAGAGGTAAGGAGTACAGACTCTGTATAAAAATATGGTTTGCAACAGTAGTCACTAGGATTCAGAAAGGAATGCTCCGATGTATGGAGTGTAGAGGTAAGGAGTACAGACTCTGTATAAAAATATGGTTTGCAACAGTGGTCACTAGGATTCAGAAAGGAATGCTCCGATGTATGGAGTGTAGAGGTAAGGAGTACAGACTCTGTATAAAAATATGGTTTGCAACAGTAGGTCACTAGGATTCAGAAAGGAATGCTCCGATGTATGGAGTGTAGAGGTAAGGAGTACAGACTCTGTATAAAAAAGTGTCCGTAGGAAAGCGCTAAATAATGGTAGCGCCACTGCAGCTACAGTCTAAATTGTAAAGAAATTATTATAATTTTTTTATTCCAATGACTTTCACCATAATTTGTTTTACAATAATTATTTTATTGCTTTCAAAATTTTCATTTTCAAAATGACTCTCAACGTATTTTACGGCGATTTATCATACCCCGTAGCGAGCGCTATTGTGGAGTTTTTGAACTGTTATTTACTGCTTGAGGTGGCCCTAGTTGATGGCACGAACTAAGTGGTAGGCGGGGTTAAAATGCATGCTATCTCGGCAAATATGACGTGCGAAAGCGAAAGGCTTGATGATTTACAATAAAGACGATCGCGCGAAATTCCATAATCAGACCTTTGGGAATCTGAATATCATGAAAAATCTATTGAATGTATCTGTTCAAAATAAAATTATATGCACTTTTGACCACCTAATCTATCCGTGTATGGTAACTGTTTTGCAATTTTCATTCTTCTTATGGTATTCATTTCCGCCCAAAGATGCATTAAAATTAGTACTTTTAAATATATTCTTTTTTACTTTTTTGTTTCCATACAGGGCTAGATAATGATGAGACAAATTGAAATCATTTTTAATTTTGAACGTAAATCATTAAACAGTGGAGTAATCGCCAGACTACGTTTGTATGGAAGAATGAGTGGCTAGTGTACCCTTAAGGATGGACACATTTTCAACTATTCTCCTATGGGAGATTGTCCTCCTTACCTCTATACTCCATGCTCTGGTTGTTGACACGTAGAATTGAAACACATAGGAAGTTGAAAGAGAAAATAGTCATAAAATACTATTTATGCTGAAGAAGTGAGTGGCAGCAGGAAGAGACGCGCTTGATGGAAACTTATCGACCAATCGGCAATACATTGAGGATGAACTATTACTGTAAATATACCTAAATGTAAAAAGCGTCATTGCAATACTGGCGTTGTATTGATGTCAAAATTAAAGCACTTTCATTCAAAATTGACCTTTATAAGGCACTATTTAAAATCGAAAAGCTACGGCAGCGTGATTTCTTATATTTACATGAATACTTGACAATGTATAAAATTAATTTTACGGAATTTATCGCGTTTAATTTAATTTATTTTTGATTCCTGACGTTTCAGGTGCTATACAGTACCCGTTGTAAATTCCCCTCCTGATTATGCATGTTGTAAAGTAAAATTAAACGCGTTTAAATTCGTAAAAATACTTTATTCAAAGCAACGTCATTGCTTCAACAAATCTGTACTACGGGAGAGCTTGTGAGAAGGCGCAGCAAACTCACAGACTGATGACCAAGCCTTGTAATAAACTGGCAGATGGAACCATCGTAGGTACTGCGGCGCATGTATTAAAATACACAAAGTAGGCTTAATATGCTAATACGTGAAATCCGTAGATTTGTGTCGTCGTTCGTGACTCTATCAATTAAATACATTACTAAAGAATAGTGAGATTTGGTTACCATGGCCGAGAGAAAAAACTTCACACTTACCAGAATTAAAACCGACATCTTTTTGGACAGTAGATACTTGACTTGTCTTCTGAGCAACACCAGCAGCTGTCGCCAGTAGAGACGAATACCGGTCACTGTCTTGTAGGTAGGCTCTGCAACATTACAATTTAACAAACATTAGAGTGTAACGTTAATAATCTACATTTAAACGGCAATAAAACTTGTGACAGTAGAAGAAAAAAGGAAGATCTCCCGCCGGGCATGGTGTTCTGCCCAGGGAGCGGCCAACACTCCGTGTGATAGTTCGCAGATGTTCTATATATACTCTTTATGATTCGGACCTTCGATAGCGCGATTTAGGCTTCGGTGTGTTTCGCTTGTGGCGCGACAACAGCGCCGCCACAAACTAAATGTACCGAATACCAATGTGTTTTTAAATGGGAAAGAACTGACTCCTGTTAGCTCTTCTGTTTTTTTTAGCATCACTCTCGACGCTAAGCTCCACTTGGCAGCTTATGCTGTATAAAAGATTAGAGATGTCACTAGTGTCGAGACAGCGAGATTAGTTTATTTCAGTTATTTCCATAGCATAATGTCATATGGGATTTTGCTATAGGGAAATGTGGCTGATTTAGAAACTATTTTTATTTTCAAGAGAGGGCCCATAAGAGTTATTTACAACCTAAAACCGAGAGTCCCTTAGAGATAAATTTAAAGAAATAAATATATTAACTTTGGCTTCTCAGTATATCTACCAAAATTTAATGTATGTTGACGAAAACAAGGGTAGTTATAGTAAAAAACGTGATACACTCTGTAAACACTGGGAACAAATACAAGCTATAGTCAACCAAATCTAAGAAATACATTTTGACGTTTCACATTAATCATTACGCAATAACTTTGCACGAACGTACTCACAGGATTTAAAATAACCTTTTACGTAAATCCGAAGAATTATGAGGTTATCTATATTTCATTACATCTTGTATAGTTTTTTTATCACTAATTTAAATTTGAATTTTTCAAATAAAGCAAAATGTGAAAAAAATAACCAGCATTAACTTTTTTAACTTGACGTCGTTTCAATGACATGTCGCTATGTATATTACCGTAGTGTTTGGATGATTAAAATTCATTGTTATGCGAATAATCGGCAAAATAATTAAAGAATCGGTAAAATATTCTAATAATTGAATCATTAATTTCTTTAATGTACTATTTCTTTAATTTCATTTTTATTTTCAAAATTCCTTAAATTACATGAATGAATGTAACAAGTTTTTTTTTCACTTTGTCAAAGTAAATTTTTGTAGACAAAAAAGTCATACAAGGCCGTGCTAAAATAACCACTACATAATTTCAGTATCCCGCCATTTCGGTACCAGTTAATCGACTCCACAGAATCAGTAATTAATTTTTGAGGCGATGTATACGCTTTTATAACAAAATGCCAGAAAATATACAAGAGACGTTACATAGTTCACACACACGACACATAGTTCAAAAACTTTATTAAACTAAGTTTGTATAAAAAGGGTTATTTTAATGTTAAGGAATTTATGTATGATAATAAGTCCTGGGAAGGGTGATCGCTACCAAGCTATTTCTAATTTGTTTGTGTTGTTAATTGTAACACGCATGATTGTAAGCTCTTTTTTTAAACTAGTACCGTTGGGTTTATCGCTGGTTCTTCCCACGACAGAGGTATTTTTTACGAACCAGTGGTAAATGAAAAGTGACTTTCAATAAGTATTATTCATGTATATTGCATAAAAAAGTTTCTGTTTCTGTTTCGAGAGCTTACTGTGCATAATTTTGTGTTTGTCTTCTTATTTTGTGACTCGGCTTTAACTTTTTGGACTGTTTCTTCTATAATACTTTTTGTACGTGGTAGAGCCACGCTACATCTATATTATAGTTGTAGCACTCATGGGTCGGCTCAACCGGGGCAGGACCACGCTCTCACAGAATACCAGCGTAAAATAGAGCAGCGTAATGCTAATGTGTTTCATATGGTGAGTGTAGAGAACCGTAGACCCTTTTTACTGGAATCGAGCCATCTTAGTCCTCAGGAGTGACAACGCATTTGCATTTTGATTCTTAATTGAGGATAAACGTGTATGTATATGGTCCATAGCATCCACTTACCATCAGGTGGACTGTGTGCTCGTTTGTCACCCAATGCTATAAAAAAATTTCGTTGAAGCATGTGCCCATGTCACAAAGGATGATTGGGCAAAAGTGGTAGAAAAAACAAAAAAATTGACTATGGATAACTTTGAAAGAGAAAGAATTTTGACTGCATTATCGAAAATCAAATAATAATAATTAATATAAACATCGACATCCCTACAAGTTGAACTGAAAGTGATTGAATAAATTTATTTTTAATCTAGTTTCAAACTTAATTTTTTATAACTATGCCTCTAGAAATAAGCAGTAACAACAAATACGAAGAAACTAATAAATATTGTGTTTTAAATTATCCGTTTTTAATTTATTCTGGTATTATTCAAACCAAACTGTAAATGATAGAAAATAGAAATAGAAAATGTATTTATTTAACCAAAAAACATTACATAATTAAGCAATACACTGGTTTCTGCACTAAGCTCTAGGCTTGTATCGCAGGAACCAAGAACATTGACTGACACCGTTTACACCGATAAATACATAGAACTCCGATTAAATTAAAATGAAGCGAAAAATAAATCTTTTTTTTTCCTTCTTTTCCCTCCTTCCTTTCTTTTTTTCTCCCTCTTTTTTTGTATAAATTAATGCATGAAAGAAAAAAAAAATGAACTTAACTGTAACTGTAAACTTGATGTAAACTCTAAATAATCAATATCGATTTTTTTAAGAATCGAATATTTTACGTTCCCATTTTTTGGTTGGCATGCTTGGTGCAATAAGTCTAGACATCTGTCAAAAGGTATTTCTTAGATTTGGTTGACTATAGTAATACTAGTTTCTCGACTCCACAGAGTCAGTAATTCATTCTTGGGGCAATGTATATTACAACAAAATCCCAGAAAATATACAAAGTCTCTCTATTACCAAGTTTTAATATTTAATTAAACCAAAACTATATAAAAAGGTTTATTATGACATAAATGAATACATGGTTGATTTCTTTAAAAAAAGTCCCGTTGGGTTTCTTGCTAGGTTTTCCCAGGACTGAGGTTTATTTCGAACGAGAGTTAAAGTAAAAAAAACTTTCAATAAGAATTACATGTAATCTATATTGAATAAAAAATATTCTGTTCTATTCTATTGATAGTGATTGTCAATATCTGACCGCCCTGTAGCGTTAGTCACGGCGCTAGAGGGCAGTTGGTTCGAATCCGCTAGTGTTTGTATCGTCTATAATTAATTGTTCCGGGTCTGGATATATGTCCTTGTGCAATTTATACATGTAAGCTACCTCCACACTACAGAATAAAATCCTATTGTGGGGGTAACGTTTCTTTAAATCTTAGGGACTTAATGTATAAGTGGCAGGATTCTTTTATGTTCAGAAGTCCGTCCGGGTAAGTACCATCCTCTTACCTATTTCTGCTGTCAAAAATAATATTGCTTGCTGTGTCTATAAGGGTATACCTAGTCAGGTCATAAGTATTGTCACACAGTAAAAACTTTTCTTTTAGAATGCTGGCCACAAAAAAGTTTATTGAATCTTCGAATTGCTCATGAAAATAAAACGCTATACTATTTAGAATTTTACTCATTTTTAAATATGGAGTGGACGCTTAAAGAAGACCGTGTTGCAGTTATTGCGTTGCATCGTTGCGCTTACGCGCCAATTAAAATTTTTGACATACTGAAAAATTTGAATATAACCAAAAGATTCGTTTATCGTACCATCAAACGATACAATGAAGACTCTAGTGTAGATGACAGGTCAAGAAGTGGTCGCCCTCGGTCTGTTAGGACTCCAGCAGTGATAAAAGCTGTGAAGGCGCAAATTCAAAGAAATCCCAAACATAAGCAGAAACTGTTGGCCCTTCAGATGGGGTTAAGCAGAACCATGGTGAAAAGGGTGTTAAATGAAACTTAGGCTTCGGGCATATCGAAGAAAAACAGGACATCATTTGAATGCTCGTCTAATGGACCTGAGACTGAAGAGATGCTGCGCTCTGTTAAAGCGGTACACGGGAAAAAATATCGGGAAATTCTTTTTTCGTATGAAAAAATTTTTACCGTAGAAGAGAGCTACAACAAACAAAATGATAAGGTGTACGCACACAGTAGTGAAGAAGCGAGCAACCGCATTCCGCGTGTCCAACGAGGTCATTTTCCATCCTCGCTCAAGGTATGGTTGGGAGTTTCTTATTGGGGCTTAACAGAGGTACATTTTTGTGAGAAAGGTGTAAAAACGAATGCAGTTTTGTATCAAAATACAGCCCTGACGAACCTTGTGGAACCTGTTTCTCATACCATGTTCAATAACAGGCACTGGGTATTCCAACAAGATTCGGCGCCAGCTCATAGAGCGAAGAGCACACAAGACTGGCTGGCGGCGCGTGAAATCGACTTCATCCGGCACGAAGACTGGCCCTCCTCCAGTCCAGATTTGAATACGTTAGATTACAAGATATGGCAACACTTGGAGGAAAAGGAGTGCTCAAAGCCTCATCCCAATTTCGAGTCACTCAAGACATCCTTGATTAAGGCAGCCGCCGATATTGACATGGACCTCGTTCGTGCTGCGATAGACGACTGGCCGCGCAGATTGAAGGCCTGTATTAAAAATCACGGAGGTCATTTTGAATAAGCTTTATTGTCATAAGAATCTATGTTTTGTTAAGTTCATTTTGGTATATAAATGGTTACATAATGAATAAACTTGTTTCAATTATTTTATATTAAACATGTGACAAAATTTATGACCTGACTAGGTAGATAGCCCATATAATTACTGTGTGTTAATATGTGGTAAGCCTAAATCGCGCTGTCAAAGTTCCGAATCAAAACGGTATATATACATAGAATAGCTCCAAATTATCACACGAAGCGTTGGCCGCTCCCTGGGTAGAACACCTTGCTCGGCAGGAGATCTCCCCTTTTCATACTATGGCCACAAGTACTCAGATGTAACCGCATCTGTTGTCTTGTTCAAAGTTAGCTGCAGATATTTTAAGTGCATGTGAGGTATGGTAATATTTTCCTAGCTACTCTATTAATGTTGAGACATTAAGTCCAGAAGTGGGTTTTTCTCAATTCATCTACTATTACATGCGTATTTAAACAAATAAATTATTCCAGGTGAACGTACCAACTGATCCGCCATCTACGCCGTCTTGAGTGAACGTAGTGTCGATGTCACTGCACAATCTGCGCACAGATAATGATTAATTATACTACCCATGCGGTTAAAGAATTGTATTCAAGATGGAGTCGTTTCTATTCATCTCTCGCTCGCACACTGTCACTATCTATGCTCACATCGGCCGATAGACATCAAAAAATACATAGCGATATGCGTTTTTCATACGTTCTAAAACTTGTCCAAATTGTCATTGGAATCAATGATAACAAAATGTCATAAACTATTAAAAAAATCAGTCAGATTTGGCCAGTTTGTAAGATTCGCCGCGTTCTGAGAGTTTTCTTAATAATTATTGTTGATTTTGTTTGTTAATATATTTGTATAAAATATTTACACGTTAATTGAACAAACATTTTTAAATGTTTCGTTTGTCTGTGTGTCCGAGCTAATCTTCGGCATGGCTGAACCGATCGCAATAAAATAAAACGTCACGAACAAATAAATAGTAATACCAGCAGTGATAAAAAATAAATTTTATCCAGAAAATTCAGAGATTTTATTGAAATAGAAACATTGATAAGATAAAATAAATGAACATGAATACATCAATTAGATCTTAATACGTCAATTAGATCTCAAACGAAGCTCGAGCCGGTCGATAGCTATTAATGTTATTTTAACATAAAGTAGGAACATTAATTTTGGCATATAAAATTATTTTCAAACACTTATTTTCCCATTAATAGAAAATTTCCAACTAACTGAAAAATTTAACGTTACATAGTAATATACTGTTATTAGCGGGTTTTGTTATGGATACTGTGCATGTTGACCGTACGGGCTCGATGAGCCGCCATTTCTAATCCCTTTCGTTGTCCGTGCGGACTGTAATCTTTATGTACAACATATGAATATATATGCATATGAATGTGCAATCCTACTTACTTACTCTCCAATTATAAATTTCATTTCATTGTAAACAATCAGTTCTATCCCTACTGCTACCAATGCATATATTAATTGCAATTTTAAGTACTGATTTACAACGTGATCGACCGTGGTAGAAATATCCTTTAAAAACCTACAAGTCTAAAAAACTTCGAAATTTTTTTTTAATATAGAAGAGGCGGCAAACGAGCATGTGGCTCACCTGATGTTAAGTGACTACCGCCGCCTATGATCAACCGCAACACCAGGGGAATTGCAGGTGCATTGCCGGCCCTTTAGAAAGGAGTAAGCTCTTTTCTTGACGGTCCCCAGGTCGTATCGGTCCGGAAAAATTGCCGGTGGTAAACTATTCCACAGAGAGGTCGCACGCGGAGGAAAACTCCTTTTGAAACGTACAGTGGTGGACCGCCAAGCATCCAGATGGTGTGGATGGTATCGGGACATTTGCCGTGTAGTGCGTTCACGAAATTTGGCGCCTGGGATTAATCCGAACAATTCCTCAGAGCACTCCCCTGTTCCGCAAAAACTCGACTTCAGACACACGTTTGTCCCGGTAGTCGAAGACGTTTTCCCGAGAAATATTGGCACGGCCGGTGTACAGAGCATCACCAGTGCTGTCATCTACATAGCAATGAATGTTACAGGTTTGCAACATATCATTGATATGCAGAAGAAACAGCGTTGGCGATAGCACGCAGCCTTGTGGAACACCAGCATTAATAGGCTTGTAATCGGAGCTTGCACCGTCTACAACGACTTTGATGCAAGAAAGCTGGTGATCCAATCGCACAATTTTCCGGGAAGCCCATAGGAAGGGAGCTTCGAAAGAAGCGCTTTGTGCTAAACCCGATCGAAGGTCTTCGCAATGTCCAAACTAACGGCCAATGCCTCCCCTTGGACTCTACTGCCGCCCATCTGTGAGTTAGATAGAACAGAAGATCACCAGCTGATCGACCACGGCGAAAACCGTATTGGCGGTCACTAATCAGCTGGTGATCCTCAAGATACCTCATGAGCTGGCAGTTAACAATAGACTCCATTGTTTTGGAGAACAAGGAGGTGATGGCGATAGGCCGGTAGTTGGACGGATCTGAGCGGTCGCCTTTTTAGGGATCGGGCGGACGAAAGCCGTCTTCCATGATTTTTGGACTACGCCTAGGGAGTAGGAGTACCGGAAAAGACGAGTTAAAACCGGTGCCAACTCTGGAGCACACGCCCTCAGCACAATTGGGGGGATTCCGTCAGGCCCACTCGACTTGTGGATGTCCAGGGAGAGGAGTGCTTTGCGAACCGAGCGCTGTGTGAACTGCACTTCCGGCATGGAGCACTCACACCGCGGGATGTTCGGCGGCGTACTCCCCCCGTCATCGAGAGTCGAGTTGGACGCAAAGAAATAGCCTAGCAGATCGACTTTCTCTTTTGCGGTATGGGCCAGTGAGTCGTCCTCCCTGTGCAGTGATGGAAGAGATGGCTGACAGAAATTCCCCTGGACAGCCTTGGCTAGAGACCAGAATGCACGGGTTCCAGAAGGAAGGCGAACTAGTTTCTCGCCAATTCTGCCTATGTGCTGACTTTGCCTTGGCAATGACTCTTTTGAAGGACCTAGAGACGGAAATATACTTCTTTTTTAGAGCGCTGGTGTTTACATTTCGGGACGTTGATGCGTCAGCCCAGACTTGGTAGCACTCCTGTTTATAGCATGATGCTATTTTACAGGAGCGACTAAACCATGGCTGAGATTTGCCTCCAATGGGCACCACAGAGGAAGGAATAAAAAGTTCCATACCCTGAAGTACCACATCAGCGACAGAATCCGCAACAACGTTGGGATCTTCCGGCGAGAAGCAAACCCGCCCCCAAGGGTAGGATGCAAAGAAAGACCGCATCCCATCCCAATCGGCTGACCTATAGTGCCAAACACGGCGGCAGCCTGCAGAATGCAACCGCGATTTCAGCGTGAGTGGCACAACACTCCGGACCAGACAATAGTCCGAGGAGCCTAAAGGGGCATCGACGGAAATTTGATATCCATCCTGGTGAGAGGCCAGCAGAAAGTCAAACAGGGAAGGTGCATGATCCTCCACATCTGGAATCCACGTAGGCGAAGTAACCAGTTGTGTTAGACCATATGCCAAGCAAAATCATGAACAGATCTCCCCGCATGATCGGTTAAACGTGAACTAAACCATTCGGCGTGATGGGCGTTAAAGTCGCCGAGGATCACGATCTCTGCGGAGGGGATCTGCTGTAGCAACGAATCTGCAGCCATTTGGACGTGGTCGAAGAGTCGGTCTGTTTCGGCATTACCGCTATGGGACCTATAGAGGCACCCGTAGACGCGCGGATGGTCGTCGCTGTCTACGCGTAGCCAAAGGATGGACAGGTCCGAACCTTCAAGTCTGCCGAGGCGTCGAGAACAGATGTCCTCTCTGACGTAAACGCAAACTCCAGCCCGAGGCACAAAGGAGTGTTCCTGTTTGTACCCCGGGTAGGAGAGATACGAGACATCAGCCGGAGAGGACACCTGCGTCTCGGTCAGAAAGAGCAGAGCCGGCCTCGCCGTCTCGAGATGGTAGTGGACGGCGTTTAGGTTAGAGTGAAGTCCCCTGATATTGCAGAAATTCACGGACAGCGTGGCAGGGGTCGCCTTGGTCTTGTTGCTCCGTTTGCCCCGAGCAGTTGTAGTCTTGAGCGGAATTTTGCCCCCCCCCCCCCCAGAATACGCGGGGCAGCCTGAGCACCCACGCTCAGAAGTGGAGAAACTTGGTCGTGGATACTCAGCGAGGGATTCTCCAGGGGTGTTGGTAACCTCCTGGGGTACGATCATTATTTAATTCCGCTACCATGTTGATGGGGGGGGGGGATTTCCCCAGCCTCCGGCCACCTGCATTCACCAGACGAAACGCGGAAGCAGAGCTTCCACTTCACGCCGGTATTCTGTGAGGTCGTGGTACCACCCCGGTTTGAGCCGGCCCATACGTGCAACAGCAAAGCTGCCGCGTGGCTCTACCACTGTTCCACAATTTTATATAAAAATTCTTCTTCTACATTTATCCTAAATTAGGAATCAAAGTGCGTGCGTTGCATTCACTACTGAGGACTAACATGCAATGCCTCGTTTCCATCACAAAGGGTCTCCGGTTCTCTACACTCACAATACGAAACGCAGCAGCATTACGTTTATATATTTTTACGTGGTTTAGGCCTGCTGCAGTTATATTAGTAGTATAGTTGTAGCACGAATCGGTCGGCTCGATCAGGGAAGGACCACACTCACAGAATACCAGCGTGAAATAGTAGCTTAGTGCTGCTGTGTGTGTTTCGTAAGGTGAGTGTAGAGACCGGAGACCCTTTTTACTGGACACGAGGCATTCCATCTTAGTCCTCACGGCGCATTAACATAGATGTAGATGTCTATGGGCCACAGCAACCACTTACTATTAGGTAGACTATGTGCACGTTCCTCACTCTATCATATAAAAAATTAAGCTACTATTTTGCTATTATGGAATACACAAATGACTTACTTCAAAAACACTTCTTCCAACGTAGAAATACCAACACCTATAGTATCGATAGCCAGTTCAGATCTTTTTGATTCCAAAGTCTTAAACAGTTGGGGAAATTTTGTGCTGTTCTTCGCTGGCAGATTGTAGGTGATGGTGTTAAGAGACTTTTCCTTGACGGATGCATCAGCCACGTGGGACTTAACAACGTTTGTGATGGCTTGCTCTTTTGGTATTCCGATAGTAGTGAAAGACAGCCGGTAACCGGTTCCTGAGGATGTGACAGAATTGTTTCTAGTTCAGTAGATTATATAAACATTTAGTGTAGTTTATATGTATTTAAGAAAAAACGTTGTTATATAATGAATGAAAAACAAAGCACAAAATTGTTGAGTCTGTTTTGAAGTCCGACTAGATAGGTAACATAGTAGAATAGGTAATACCATCTCCATATTTATGTCGCTAAGAAACAGTACAATGGCAGTCTCAGTTTAAAGTGTGCATCCAATATAGTTGCGAGCTAAGAGACTTACAGCTCTGCCACGGATCCACCGCTTCCATGTCTACATAATATGTAATGGTCATTCCCTATAAAATGCCATTTGTTAAACTAATTAGAACTGTAAGAGCTATGTTTCGCTTTAAAATTCTAAATGCAAACAAATTTTATACTTAAGGTAAGTTGTTTCTTTTTTAAAATCAGTTATCGTACCGTAAGCGCGCTTGAGGTGCATGGTGGTGACGTGAAGCGTGCAGCGTGTACATGTGTATATACAGTGTACAGAGCAGTGCGCGGGACGTACCGAGCGCGCGCTTGAGGTGCATGGTGGTGACGTGAAGCGTGCAGCGTGTACATGTGTATATAGAGTGTACAGAGTAGTGCGCGGGACGTACCGAGCGCGCGCTTGAGGTGCATTGTGGTGACGTGAAGCGTGCAGCGTGTACATGTGTATATAGAGTGTACAGAGTAGTGCGCGGAACGTACCGAGCGCGCGCTTGAGGTGCATGGTGGTAGCGTGCAGCGTGTACATGTGTATATAGAGTGTACAGAGTAGTGCGCGGGACGTACCGAGCGCGCGCTTGAAGTGCATGGTGGTGACGTGAAGCGTGCAGCGTGTACATGTGTATATAGAGTGTACAGAATAGTGCGCGGGACGTACCGAGCGCGCGCTTGAGGTGCATGGTGGTGACGTGAAGCGTGCAGCGTGTACATGTGTATATAGAGTGTACAGAGTAGTGCGCGGGACGTACCGAGCGCGCGCTTGAGGTGCATGGTGGTGACGTGAAGCGTGCAGCGTGTACATGTGTATATAGAGTGTACAGAGTAGTGCGCGGGACGTACCGAGCGCGCGCTTGAAGTGCATGGTGGTGACGTGAAGCGTGCAGCGTGTACATGTGTATATAGAGTGTACAGAATAGTGCGCGGGACGTACCGAGCGCGCGCTTGAGGTGCATGGTGGTGACGTGAAGCGTGCAGCGTGTACATGTGTATATAGAGTGTACAGAGCAGTGCGCGGGACGTACCGAGCGCGCGCTTGAGGTGCATGGTGGTGACGTGAAGTGTGCAGCGTGTACATGTGTATATAGAGTGTACAGAGTAGTGCGCGGGACGTACCGAGCGCGCGCTTGAGGTGCATGGTGGTGACGTGAAGCGTGCAGCGTGTACATGTGTATATAGAGTGTACAGAGTAGTGCGCGGGACGTACCGAGCGCGCGCTTGAGGTGCATTGTGGTGACATGAAGCGTGCAGCGTGTACATGTGTATATAGAGTGTACAGAATAGTGCGCGGGACGTACCGAGCGCGCGCTTGAGGTGCACGGTGGTGACGTGAAGCGTGCAGCGTGTACATGTGTATATAGAGTGTACAGAGTAGTGCGCGGGACGTACCGAGCGCGCGCTTGAGGTGCATTGTGGTGACGTGAAGCGTGCAGCGTGTACATGTGTATATAGAGTGTACAGAATAGTGCGCGGGACGTACCGAGCGCGCGCTTGAGGTGCATGGTGGTGACGTGAAGCGTGCAGCGTGTACATGTGTATATAGAGTGTACAGAGTAGTGCGCGGGACGTACCGAGCGCGCGCTTGAGGTGCATGGTGGTGACGCGAAGCGTGCAGCGTGTACATGTGTATATAGAGTGTACAGAATAGTGCGCGGGACGTACCGAGCGCGCGCTTGAGGTGCATTGTGGTGACGTGAAGCGTGCAGCGTGTACATGTGTATATAGAGTGTACAGAGTAGTGCGCGGGACGTACCGAGCTCGCGCTTGAGGTGCATGGTGGTGACGTGAAGCGTGCAGCGTGTACATGTGTATATAGAGTGTACAGAGTAGTGCGCGGGACGTACCGAGCGCGCGCTTGAGGTGCATTGTGGTGACGTGAAGCGTGCAGCGTGTACATGTGTATATAGAGTGTACAGAATAGTGCGCGGGACGTACCGAGCGCGCGCTTGAGGTGCATGGTGGTGACGTGAAGCGTGCAGCGTGTACATGTGTATATAGAGTGTACAGAGTAGTGCGCGGGACGTACCGAGCGCGCGCTTGAGGTGCATTGTGGTGACGTGAAGCGTGCAGCGTGTACATGTGTATATAGAGTGTACAGAATAGTGCGCGGGACGTACCGAGCGCGCTCTTGAGGTGCATGGTGGTGACGTGAAGCGTGCAGCGTGTACATGTGTATATAGAGTGTACAGAGCAGTGCGCGGGACGTACCGAGCGCGCGCTTGAGGTGCATGGTGGTGACGTGAAGCGTGCAGCGTGTACATGTGTATATAGAGTGTACAGAGCAGTGCGCGGGACGTACCGAGCGCGCGCTTGAGGTGCATGGTGGTGACGTGAAGCGTGCAGCGTGTACATGTGTATATAGAGTGTACAGAGTAGTGCGCGGGACGTACCGAGCGCGCGCTTGAGGTGCATTGTGGTGACGTGAAGCGTGCAGCGTGTACATGTGTATATAGAGTGTACAGAATAGTGCGCGGGACGTACCGAGCGCGCGCTTGAGGTACATGGTGGTGACGTGAAGCGTGCAGCGTGTACATGTGTATATAGAGTGTACAGAGTAGTGCGCGGGACGTACCGAGCGCGCGCTTGAGGTGCATTGTGGTGACGTGAAGTGTGCAGCGTGTACATGTGTATATAGAGTGTACAGAATAGTGCGCGGGACGTACCCAGCGCGCGCTTGAGGTGCATGGTGGTAACGTGAAGCGTGCAGCGTGTACATGTGTATATAGAGTGTACAGAATAGTGCGCGGGACGTACCGAGCGCGCGCTTGAGGTGCATGGTGGTGACGTGAAGCGTGCAGCGTGTACATGTGTATATAGAGTGTACAGAGCAGTGCGCGGGACGTACCGAGCGCGCGCTTGAGGTGCATGGTGGTGACGTGAAGCGTGCAGCGTGTACATGTGTATATAGAGTGTACAGAATAGTGCGCGGGACGTACCGAGCGCGCGCTTGAGGTGCATGGTGGTGACGTGAAGCGTGCAGCGTGTACATGTGTATATAGAGTGTACAGAGTAGTGCGCGGGACGTACCGAGCGCGCGCTTGAGGTGCATGGTGGTGACGTGAAGCGTGCAGCGTGTACATGTGTATATAGAGTATACAGAGTAGTGCGCGGGACGTACCGAGCGCGCGCTTGAAGTGCATGGTGGTGTAGCGGCGCTGTCGTCGCGCCACACACCGAAGCCTAAATCGCGCTATTAACATTCCGAATCGTAGACAGTATATATAGAACTTCTCCGAAATATCACTCGGTGCGTTGGCCGCTCCCCGGGCAGAACACCTTGCCCGGCTGGAGATCTCCCCTTTTCCTACCACGGCCACAGTGGTGACCCCGACGTGATCTGAACACGCAACCAACAACCTTCGGAAACTTCAAGCTTCATTATCGTCATAAAATACCATTATATTCGCTCTCGAGCAGATATCGTCTGCAGTCTTCATATCCTGCAAGCCAGCTAGCTTCACAAGGTTCATCGCAGCACTGGAATAATAATGCTTCCTGTTCCTTCAAGCTACTCTCTGCGCTATACAGTGTTCGGCACGGCGCTGAGCCTTACTGCTCGCCTCTGCTTCACGGCACTCTCGCAGATTACTTGCCTTCTTCTCGACTCACCGCAGACTACAAGGCAATCTCCTGGCACTTACACATTCGTCGGCAACGAGGCTACACTATCGACCTCCGGTCTGAGCAGGGGGGTGATGTAGCGGCGCTGTCGTCGCGCCACACACCGAAGCCTAAATCGCGCTATTAACATTCGAATCGTAGACAGTATATATAGAACTTCTCCGAACTATCACTCGGAGCGTTGGCCGCTCCCCGGGCAGAACACCTTGCCCGGCTGGAGATCTCCCCTTTTCCTACCACGGCCACAGTGGTGACGTGAAGCGTGCAGCGTGTACATGTGTATATAGAGTGTACAGAATAGTGCGCGGGACGTACCGAGCGCGCGCTTGAGGTGCATGGTGGTGACGTGAAGCGTGCAGCGTGTACATGTGTATATAGAGTGTACAGAATAGTGCGCGGGACGTACCGAGCGCGCGCTTGAGGTGCATGGTGGTGACGTGAAGCGTGCAGCGTGTACATGTGTATATAGAGTGTACAGAGTAGTGCGCGGGACGTACCGAGTGCGCGCTTGAGGTGCATGGTGGTGACGTAAAGCGTGCAGTGTGTACATGTGTATATATAGTGTACAGAGTAGTGCGCGGAACGTACCGAGCGCGCGCTTGAGGTGCATGGTGGTGACGTGAAGCAAGCAGCGTGTACATGTGTATATAGAGTGTACAGAGTAGTGCGCAGGACGTACCAAGCGCGCGCTTGAGGTGCATGGTGGTAGCGTGGCAGCGCAGACGGCCGTTGTGCAGCGCCGCCACGCGGTCGCCCAGCGCATCCGCCTCCTCCATGAAGTGCGTGCTCAGTAGCACGCAGCGATCACCGCGCAGCGACTGCGGTACATACACACACACTTGTTAGAAACTAAAGTACGTATTGTATTTACAATTACCATTACAGCTTATCCTTTGGCATGTAGTGAAGGTGTAAGATAATCTACTTCCTTATATCATCCCGTAGCTGTCGTAAGAGGCGACAGAGGGAATCAATTTAGGAGATTGTCAGCAGCGTCTTCCTTGTAACGACCTAAGATACTGCTGCTGTTAAGATAAATAAAATATGCTTTTTTATACGAGAGGGGACAAACGAGCACACGGCTCACCTGATGGTAAGTGATTACCGCCTCCCATGAACAATTGCAACACCAGGGGAATTGCAGAAGTATTGCGGGCCCTTTAAAAAAAGTAAGGCTCTTTTGTTGAAGGTCCTTAAGTCGTATCTATATATGCTACTTGAGGTAAAGTAGGTAATACATATATTTAAAAGTTGCTAACAGCTCATGATGAGTACACAAACGCGCTGTGTGGCGATCCTTTATGAACTAATTCCACGAACAATAAAAATAAGTGAATGAGGCAACAATGCTACCAAACCGCACATATACCCTATCAGGGTATATGTGCGGTTGCACAAGTCTAAGAACACATTCAAATATCGAAGGCGTCTAAACGGAGCAATTGTGCGATGCGGTGCGGGGCGAGATGCGGGCAGAGCGCTCCTAAGCGGCCGAAAATTTATTAGTTAGTTTTTAGAGAGCTGTCCGGCAGGCTGTCGTGTTACGTTGTTAATTTGAAATAGTGAAACTCTGGCAACTCATCAGTTCGACACATTAAGCGAATATAATATCGTACCATCAAAAACATTAACAACAGATTCGGTCGCTGTATTGAGGTACCGAGGTCTGTCATCGTCATTGTGCACACTGTTCGGGTATAGGACGTATGTTTAATAATAATAAAAATTTTATATAAAAATAGTTTAATAAAGAATTCAAAAATATAAGATTTAAATATGTTAAAAAATGTTAAATGTTAATGTTGTGTTAATGAGCTCGCGTCCGTCGCGGTTACGGTGATTACGTGAACTAACACAATTTTTATAATGGAGAAGATAACAAGGTTCCAATATTAGACTTTTAAGTACGTAAGTAAAAAGTCTAGGCCAAACCCGTAATTCTAGTGTTTATTTCACATCGATCGGTGCACTATTACCGAAGTTATAAGCGTGGAAATTTTACGTAGATTTTTAAAATCTCGCCTGTGCCCGCGAGTAGCGCGTGACGTCATCTATTCCATGCGGCCGCGCCGCCATACCGTTCCAGCGCGCCGATCATACGTTTGTAGTAATATTTCGCGGGTAAGTTGTTTGCCCTCCTAAGCTCTGGTGTTTTTAAGTAGTTAATGATGGAAGAATGGTTTCTGACAACCTTCCAATAGTCCGTGACATGATGGTGGCGGAATATTTTCTAAGAAACAAAGATTTTGTCACGGCTGAAATACGCATAAGAAAAATATAATATTTTTATAACCTAGGTACCCATTATTATATTAATACTTCTTCAGAAGTATTAAAATATTAATACTTCTAATAATTATTTCTAATAATAATTTCATTTGCTAATTGAAAAATACGTAAACATTCCTTACCTACCTACTTACTATCTGCCTCTAACTAGTTTTGTTTTCTTATTCTTCTTAAGTGCACCCTAACCTTTTTGAGCTTTTTATGGTTAAAAAAATTTCCTGTTGTTTAATAAAGAAATTTACTACAAATATACCTTCGGTGTATTATAAAAATATGATTTTATCTAAAAATCAGATGTTTTCAATATTAAAAGAACAGGGGTCGCATTATTATTATGATTAAAAGCGTAGTTTATTCTTCAGGCAAGGGATCAATGTCAATATTATCATCTAGAGTAGTAACAGGAACGACGAAGTAGTGGCAATGCAAATGCATGTGCAACTGTTTCTGACCTAGATTTGGCATTTAGTTTTGACAGTAAACATCTTTGTGGTTTTTCTGTATACCGATTTTGACAAGCAAACTTGTGAGGCAAAACATCATTTTAAGTTTGAGGGGACCACCAACTATTTTATACTTCACGTAGTTTTCCATATAGTTTTCGACATGGAACAAAATACAAACTTATTTGTATTTCATCAATATTTAAAATATGTACCAACTATGTAATACATAAAAATAGGACAACACGAAAAAAAAATTTAAGTGCTCCACATCATAATCAAACTTCTTCCATCATTTGCGGCCCGCAAAGTATGCAGGTTGAACAGCTCTGCGATGTGTTTAGTTTTTGCTCGAATTATCGTAAAAATATAAAAACCTTTGTTAACATATTCCATATTTTAACCTTTATATGCATTATAAACATTTTAAAATTTGCTGCAAACATAGGTAGGTATCTAAACTTACAAACTCACGACAGGTCATTGACTTATCTACATTACATAGGTAAGTACTTTACCCAAGTTTGGATGTTTATTTACACATTGAAGTAGTTTTACTTAAATATGTAGGTATTAGGTATTGTTTCTTCTTGAAATTATAATGATCACTAAGCGTGGAAAGGTTCACTGAATCCTTATTTACTTACACACTGCGACTCGAGTAGGTGCCCAATAGAAGCGTTTACTAGCATAACCAAGAGCTATCATTGAAGGTTATTATTATTTGAATACTTACATCCAAATGATCCTCACAACAATATGCTACCTTGTTTGGTCCTAAAGGATGTGCTGTTCTCATAGCATTTGTCTATTTTTTTCTGATGGTAGGGTTGGAAGGGAGGGTAGGGTAGGAAATTTGTTTTTAATGTGCCTAGAAGGCACATTAAAAAACAACTTTTCAGGTGATTTGTGGCCGTATTTTTACATTGGGGCACAGCACAATATTTAATAGATGGTGTCATGTTCTATAATGTTTCTTGTTAAAAATAGATAGCAAGTAGATCCGCGCGCGACGGGCACATTTGAGTAAATGTTTTGATTTTCTAAGTGCGCATCGGGTCGCTTGCACGAAGATTGGAAATCGTGACGTCATCAACGATGTCGCGCTCGGCCTGCGGCTTAGACCGAAAATGTTAACTTTGCGCCTTTATATCTCGGTCAGTTTTGAAGATAAAAAAAATTAAAAACACAGTTATTCTCGTAATTTTTTGTATAATTTTTCGGCATATAAATCAAAAAATGGTTATCTTCTCCATTGTCGAACTATATCGATTGCTTCACGTAAAATGTTAACGCCAGCAGAAATGTACGGTTGGACCGTACACACACATCTATTGATATTTATAACACCAGAAGTAGAATTTCTAAACACCCATTGTTTGATTAAGTTATTTAATTTGTTTACACACGCCCACAGTGAGCGGCGCGTCTCCACGTCGAGGCCGGATGTGGGCTCGTCACTCACCAGCAGCAGGTCCCACAGCGAGCGGCGTGTCTCTACGTCGAGGCCAGACGTGGGCTCGTCACTCACCAGCAGCAGGTCCCACAGCGAGCGGCGCGTCTCCACATCGAGACCGGACGTGGGCTCGTCACTCACCAGTAGCAGGTCCCACAGCGAGCGGCGCGTCTCCACGTCGAGGCTGGACGTGGGCTCGTCACTCACCAGCAGCAGGTCCCACAGCGAGCGGCGCGTCTCCACGTCGAGGCCGGACGTGGGCTCGTCACTCACCAGCAGCAGGTCCCACAGCGAGCGGCGCGTTCCACATCGAGGCCGGACGTGCTCCCCACCAGTAGCAGGTCCCACAGCGAGCGGCGCGTCTCCACGTCGAGGCCGGACGTGGGCTCGTCACTCACCAGCAGCAGGTCCCACAGCGAGCGGCGCGTCTCCACGTCGAGGCCGGACGTGGGCTCGTCACTCACCAGCAGCAGGTCCCACAGCGAGCGGCGCGTCTCCACGTCGAGGCCGGACGTGGGCTCGTCACTCACCAGCAGCAGGTCCCACAGCGAGCGGCGCGTCTCCACGTCGAGGCCGGACGTGGGCTCGTCACTCACCAGCAGCAGGTCCCACAGCGAGCGGCGCGTCTCCACGTCGAGGCCGGACGTGGGCTCGTCACTCACCAGCAGCAGGTCCCACAGCGAGCGGCGCGTATCCACGTCGAGGCCGGACGTGGGCTCGTCACTCACCAGCAGCAGGTCCCACAATGAGCGGCGCATCTCCACGTCGAGGCCGGACGTGGGCTCGTCACTCACCAGCAGCAGGTCCCACAGCGAGCGGCGCGTCTCCACGTCGAGGCCGGACGTGGGCTCGTCCAGCACGAGCACGCGCGCGCGGCCGGCCAACGCGCAGGCCAGCTGCAGGCGCCGCTTCATGCCGCCCGACAGCTGCCCGCTGCGGCTGGACTCCTTGCCCACCAGCCCGAGCTGCCGCACCAGCTCACTGGACTCCACCCGCGCCTCGCGGTACCCCATGCCTTTAAGCTGCATCCACATTTTCATGTCTTAACAAAGTTTTTTTATAGAATTAGGGTAAGTTTATTCCTTAGAATAAGTGGTAATGGGTCGGCCATATAGCTCGAAGAACAGATAACCGATGGAGAAAAAAGGTTCTAGAGTGGAAGTCTCGTACCGGTAAATAAAATTTAAGGCGTCCCCCCACGTGGATGGCCCGAGGTGTAGGGCCGGCCCAAAGTGGCCACTTTGAGCAAGCTTGGCAAGCTCACTTCGGATGTGTGTTGATTAGCTGCAGATAGCGAGCCGAGGCGGAGTCGCAAAAGGAGTATCCAAACTTTTTTCGGAGAAACCGGAGACCAGATCTGCCGCTGGTGCCATAGTCGTTTACGGCGTCGATATCCGTACTGTCGTCGCGTGACCATTTGTAATAATTTTTAGTTAATTTTTGTGTTTTGCGAATATTCTATGTTAATTGTTGACTGGTAACTATTTAAACTTTATTGTGTTGAATTGAATAAAATTGTGCAGTGCACGTATCCTTTTAAACATTTTTATTAGATATAAGCATGTTTTTTTTTGGTTGGGACCACGCGGTTAAGGCGTGGTAACTATAAGAGATAAGTATTCTGCTTTTTTGTGTTTATTGTTGTATTTTTTTGTGTTTCTACGCGATATAAACAAGCTTATTCTTGCATATGCTGTAAAAAGATTAGAAGTCTTACTAGTGTTGAAATAGTTAGACTTATTTACTTTAGCTATTTCTATATCATTATGTCGTATCGTATTTTGCTATGGGGACATGCGACTGACACTGAAATTATATTTGTATTATAGAAGATGGTTATAAAAGCAATCTATGATTTAAAACCTAATGAGTCGCTCAGACCAAAATTTAAGGAAATTAATACATTAATTTTGATCTTTCAAAATAAAAGCAGTTTTACAAAAATAAGTGATATTCATTCTGTAAATACTAGGAAGACACAAGCTAGTAGTACCAGTTACTCGACTCCACCGAGTCAGTAATTCATTCTTGGGGCGATGTATACGCTTTTACAACAAAATCTCAGAAAATAAATTTTGACTAAGTTTGTATAAAACTATAATATTAAGGAATTTTTGGATGACAATAACCCCTGGGAAGGGTGTTGTTAATTGTAACATACATGATTGTAAGCTGTAATTTAAAATAAAAAGTTACGCTGGGTTTCTTGCTGGTTCTTCCCAGGACAAGGTCCAAACCAGTAGTAAATAAAAAAATGTAATCTAATTGATGGAATCAGGCGTTACTTTGCGGAAATCCATTATAATAAAAAATAAAAATATAAATTTCTTCGCAACTTTCCGCTAAACAAATACAATGATGTGTCTTACCTGGATTGAAGAGCACCTCCCGCCCTCCCTCAATTGCATGCACTAACTCCGTCACCACTAGTCCCAGCACCACTACTCCCAACACCACTATTCCAGGCAAGACACACCATCGACGATAATACGACACGTGTTTCGCCTCTACACGAGGCATCTTCAGGTAATATAGACTCTACGGCGGCTGACCGCTAAGTGATCTTAGGTGCTCTTCAATCCAGGTAAGACACATCATTGTATTTGTTTAGCGGAAAGTTGCGAAGAAATTTATATTTTTATTTTTTATTAAATGTAATCCATATTAAATAAAAAGAATTCTGTTTCTGTGCCTAATACTTTGTTGAGTGTATCAAATTTATTATTATTGTAAAATATTAATTATAAAGAAAAGTTATAATTGTTCTTTCGTTATTCAATTCACTTACTAAGTCTGATACATATTTATTTTATTTTAGTCGAAGTGCGATATTTAGAGATAAATCACACAATTTGTTCGGATTAATCCCAGCCGCCAAATTTCGTGAACGCACTACACGGCAAACGTCCCGATACCATCCACACCATCTGGATGCTTGGCGGTCCACCACTGTACGTTTCAAAAGGAGTTTTCTTCCGCGTACAACCTCTCTGTGGAATAATTTACCACCGGTGATTTTTCCGGACCGATACGACCTGGGGACCTTCAAGAAAAGAGCTTACTCCTTTCTAAAGGGCCGGCAACGCACCTGCAATTCCCCTGGTGTTGCGGTTGATCATGGGCGGCGGTAGTCACTTAACATCAGGTGAGCCACATGCTCGTTTGCCCCCTCTTCTATAAAAAAAAAAAAAAAAATCTGGACGTTGAATAATCTCATGTGCGTCCTATACAATACGCTGCTTTATTTTGCACAATGTACACGGTATCACCTATTACACAATGTCACTAACACACTTCACTTTGCACGGTACACATCTAACGGTTATACGTATTAACAGAGATGTTGTCTGCTCGCCGGTTACAATTCAACTGCCCGATGTTCCCAAAGCGGTATTTATACACTAGTAGCAATGGCTCATTAGACGATTGTCTACAACGTGTTCCTACAATGGTGACTTTATTTTAACACATATATGTTTTCACATTTTCATTTCGTGAAGATATTATATTAACATTAAACGTTATTATTTACGGATTAATTTGAAATTTTAGAAAATAGCATTTTAGGGCAACCTCTACGTAGATAACTCGAGAAAGCGGTCATTTGGCTGAGTCACGGATCATAGCATTGCATCATTGAAATTAAAACGAATAAGCAATACTATTGAAAGAAAGAAACTTTGTCAGCAAGCGGGCGGCGCAAGCGACGTGTGCCCCTCACCCCACCGCACCGAAATCGAATTATTTTTTTGCATTTCTAGTGGTCGCCGAACCCGTGTCCTTGACACATATCTTCACAGTAGTGCCCATAATTACGTCGACTAATATTTTTGTGAATGTTTCCGCGAAAAATATGCTTACCTATTGTTTTATTAATTAATTTTTGTGTAATTAGGTTATGTTACTGCGATAAAGACGTTTACATCTTTTGTGATACGGACGCTTTTATTTGTGTTATTAGTGCTTGTGTAAACTTGTGATCGTAATGGCAAATACACATCTGAACTACACAGCAGCTGAATATGCGGACATTTAAAGCGCAAAAAGTGGTGCCCATTCAAGGTTAGAAAAGTACATGCGCGTGATAAGTTAATAAGAGTGAATTATTTTCAGTGGTTACTGAGTAAAATTGAAAAGGACTGTGACTTTCTTTCCCAAATTTGTTGGACTGACGAAAGCACGTTCACCAGAAACGGCATGTGGAACCAGCACAATCTGCACCATTGGGCACCCAAACACCAAAATCATCAATCAGTAGATACGGACCATCACGAGTACAAGGTTGTAGGTACCAGACGCATTGCGCGGTTGCCAGCTCGCAAAACGACGCGTTGCCACTCCGACTTAACTAGGTATTTTATTTGAATTTTAGCAAGGCTTATCCTAATTTTAGTTACATTTTGTTATTTAGTTTGTTTGAAAAAAAAATTTCCTTTTTAATTTTAATCTATCAAATTTAATATGATTAATGGGCACTAGCCTTACCCGTGTGTAAAATTAAAGTCACCATTGTAGGAACACGTTGTATACACTATATGTCCCATTCATTAAGCAACACCCTTCTCACCCCTGTCGCCACCTTAGGCACGGTCAACGAGTTCCGCACGGACGATACCTGTCGGTGGAATACCTATCTGATGGCTCTTGGTCCAACCATTGTGCTACAAAAGTAGTAACCAAACTGGAGCATGGTGAAGCTGAAGCTGAACCGTAGTAGTTTGGGGGCTAAACGACCGCCGTAAATTTCAGAGTACGCGAGCAACTCGGAATCAATCCCCGCCGAACCAATGAAATTGTTAATTGCAATTTTATTTTAAGTGCTGATTGATAACGTGTTTGGCGGTGGAAGAAAATATCGCGAGGAAACCGGCATATCTGAGAAATAAGAAAAAAATATATATTGAAGACAAGTTCTTCAGAACGCATTGGGCCAGCGCGGCAGACGTTTTTTTTCCGTCAGATGTGAGAGGAGGCCTGTGCCCAGCAGTGAGACATATAAAGGCTGTATAACTGTCTAAGCTGAAGCAGCAAAGAGAGTTGATGTTGCTGTAAGTAATCTATTTCGGTATTATCTTGTATTTTCTTTTAACTCCTTAGCTCCTTACTATATTCCATACATAATACATACAGTATTTATAACGTAGTCTTTCTGAGAAATATTATTTTTATTGAAATAGATTTTTCAATAATTTCCCCATCACCGCATCAATAATTTTCTAGTAACTAAAAACCTAAAAGGGGGTAACTTTTTAAAATAATAAAAACCTAAAACACTTAAAAATCAATGTAAAGTTTAAACATACCATAGAGAAGAATATAATATGCTCCAGCACGGTGAGGTTTGAGAAGAACAGGTTGTGTTGAGGACATAGACCTATCAGCTTCCGCACCTTGTTTTTCTGGGTGACGTTATCAAATCCCTCCACATACACTTTGCCAGATGTTGCACTTATCATTCCTAGAACAGGAATATAAATATATATTAAGATACTATATAAAATAAATACCGCTAAATGTCTTTGATTATTATTGTTCTTTTATTTTTTTTGTCATGTTATCATTGTAGAATAAACTTTTTATGTTTCCCTGCGTTTGTGTGTTTTTAACTTGTCATCAATAATTAGCTCAAGTATTTTACATTGTCACTACGCAATAAGTGTGGACAGTCGCAGTCAGGTATGGTGGATGGAATCCTAAGAGGATTAGGAAATATATAAACGGCTAATTTTAAATTTACAGTCTGCTCACTAGCATTTGTAATACTAAAGCTTATTTTAACTTTGTTTTAGAAGTATTTAGTAACAGATGTTTGTCTTCCAGCCATGAAGTAACGGTTTTTAACCCTACTTTAGTGACCAGTACACTGAGTTCCAAGTACGTTCCCAAAATAATAGCACAGCATCGTCTGCAAACTTCTGAATTGTGCACAGTTTACAACTGTATCACACAGGTCATTAATATAAATCAAGAACATTGTAGGGCCCAGTGTACTTCTTTGTGGAACACCGCAAGTACAGGATGCGCTGTCACTTAGTAAATTATGAAGACGTTCGTTTTGTTTTCTCGCACACAGATAGTTTTTAAAACACATTAGTGGGGTATCTCTTACGTTGGTATTAGACACTGTATCAAATGCCATTTGAAGATCCAAAAATATGCTAAAGTAAAGTTATACGTTTGAACACTAATTCTGACAACGCACTAAACAGGAACCACACGGTTTTTGTTATATGTTGTATATTACGTAGCTTTTAAAATAAACACATCAGTAGCCTTGCTTAAGCGACCAGTTAAGTGAGGCATTGTTAAATGTATCATTTCTTTTAGGCAACAATGGATCATTTTAAAAACGACATGCATTTCGTAGTAAACGAATATACGATTTATTACGAAAATAATTTAAAAGATTTAATAGTTTTAGAGGCTGGTGCAACAAATTTCGCAAAAACAACGCGTGGTTAAGGGTAGCCGAAAATACCAGTAATAAACTGCGATGAGGTCACAGATCATTAATAATTCTTCCTAGAGGATCTATGTAAACCGACTTCGTTTTAGATGCGGCATAGGCAAGCGAGGGTAAGATAAGGACACATTCGCAACAGGTGCCTAGTACTTCTGAAATATTTCAAATAAAAGCTCTACACTGGTTATAAACTGTAAAATCTAATTTAATGAATGTCGTATATTAAATGCACAATTCGTAATTGTTAATTAAGTTTGAAAATGATTGATGAGAGTGATGAGAGTTTAAAGTTTTAAAAATATAAACTAAAGGTTACCTGTAATTATGTTCATGAGAGTAGTCTTGCCAGCGCCGTTGTGTCCCAGTAGTACTGTGATTTCACCTTTGTATATGTCAAGTGATACGTTAGAGAGTGCAAGTTTCTTTGGAAACACCTAGATCAAAGGGAAAAAATATTTTAAAACAATTTGTTTTTTATTTTGTTAAAATTGTAGAACTCGGCTGAATTTGGCCAAAAGACAAATCCATTATATTATATATAGTATAATTAGACTGAGATGCACCTGTCATCATTATAAGAGTAGGTCTAAGGTATGCATGGGATGCTGTAGCCACTTGTCATCATGATAAAAATATAGTGCTTTACCATGTTAATATACATATTATCAACTAACACGTATACTATATTTTATCCGAGATGGATATATCGCTATTTATTGGAGGCCATGATATCTTTCTGGCTCTAGTTTGTCGACTCATACGACATCTACAGATGGTAAAGGGTTGATGAATGCCTTATGCTTCCAGCAGAGGACACAGACCGTGGTATTGAGCTGACTTAACTTAGTCTGTGTCTGTTATATCAACCAAATGATTATTTAGAATTTTAAAATGACCATAACTTTTGAACGCCTCGTTCGATTTTGTCCTCGTTGATTTACTTGGCGTCATTCGACGCAGTTTTTTAAGTGCAAACAATTTTTTGTCAGGACCTCAAAACGTGGAGATCTGATGAAAACTAGCGTTCTTTCAGACATTTGAAAATTATTAAATTTCAAAGCGGGAAGTGAATTTGCAACAGATTTTGAAAAGTAAATTTGGTGTAATTTTGTTATAAATATATACATATAAATATTAGCGGTAATAATAAAAACCTTAAGATATCTAATGACTCTTCTGGTTTTAAAAAAATTCGAAGAAATTTCTCAATATGCAATAACATGATCTGAAGAACTTTGTGATTTATGTAATGATTTATATATAACATACTCATAACCTTTACTTTTATTTGACTAAAGGCTTTGTTGTTAGTGGGACAGTAAATTAAATACGATTTTTTTGAGTATTGTGAAAGGTTACAAAAATAAAGACGCAATAATTACCTTGGTCACGTTAACAATTTTGATTCCGGCTTCAAGGTTCTTTGGCGCATCCTCAAAGAACAGCGGATCTTGCGTGATGGGTTCTTCAGATTCTTCAAATTCTGTTTTCGGTGTTATCTTCTTCTGATACCAATACTGCCGCTGTATCAAAAGAGCGATAGATATTTTACAACAAATGGCCTCCGCTTTTTTTGTAATATAAATATAAACATATCTGGTAAATACTTTCTAGTATTAGTATGCAAGATTGCCGTATGGTGGGGGATGTAGGGGGGGGGGGGTGTAAGTGTCTGCCGCACTGCCTGAATGCATTTTGGCAGATTTTACATGTTTAATTTTTTCTTCTCTTACATTTTTAATTATTTCTTTTTACATGTTTAATTAATTCTTCCTCACATGCGTAAACGACCACACGGTAAATCAGCACTTAAAATTGCAACTAGCAATTTCATTAGTGTCAGCGAGTATCGGACCCGGGTAACTCGAGAACTGTGAAATTTGCAGCAAGCGTTTAGCTCCTGAGCTACCACGGATTTGTCTCTGCTTTCTCTTTAACGCGAATATGCCCAGATTATCCACGGGAAGCAGCATCAAAGATAACTTGATACTGAGAGCGCCAATCCGCCTGCTGAGCTTGGCGATTACAGGCGATTCTCTATGCTGTGGGAAAAGCTCGTATCAAAAATGGACTGTAAAAGGTTGATTACATATTACATATTACCCGAAAAATAAAGCTCCAAGGCAAAGCTTGCCCGTAGGGTCCAGGATTGACGTGGGAGAGGTACCAGGCTAGCAGGAAGAAGATCGCGCTCTGCACTATAAAGAACAGCATAGACAACAGCACGGAAAAGCTCTTGGCGCCGTGCGTCTTAGCCATGTTGCTGAATGCTAAGCCTTGACCTGGAAAATAAATTAATTATGGTATGGCTCATCATAACTTAATAGTTAAACAAATATATTTATAGTCAATTGAAATTATTTTTACGTCGTTAATATGAAATCTTTTATAATTATATACATATGGCACCTTGTTTTCAAATAACCACAATATTTTTAATATTTATAAAAGACAAAAATATAACTTAAAGCGGAAAATGCTTGGGACATTACGTAAAGAAAAAAAATCATACTCGTATAATTTATTAATGACGTTTTCACACAAGTACAATCACCAGGCCACCTTGGGACGGCCTCTCGAATAGGACCAGCCATTTGTATGGTATGGTCGGTCTTATTCGAGATGGCACCATGGGTAACCGAGCTTTGGTAAACTAAATCCCTCTGCCAAAACAAGGAGGGCACTCATTTACACATAATATGAAGCTTAATTGGAGTGGTTAAATCGAGTATTGACAGAATTTCTAGTATTTTTGGAGTTTACTGAAGTTTACTCCTTAACAACGAGAATACCAGCGTAAAATAGCAGCTTAACGCTGCTGAGTTTCGTATGGTGAGTGTAGAAGATACTCTTTTTACAGGAAACGAGGCATTTGCTTGTAGTCCCCAGGGGTGAAAACACATCTGCATTTTGATTCTTAATAGAAGATATATTGTAGATTTCTATGGGACACAGAATCCACGTACTAAAACAACTAAATTGTGAATTATAATCATCATCATAATTCATCATTCCCTTCACAATACCGCTGTTGAACATAGGCCTCCCCCAAGGAATGCCACAGAGCACGGTCCTGAGACAACTGTATCCAGCAACTTCGTGCACGTCTCTCCAGGTCGTCACTCCATCTTGTGAAGGATTGCCTCACACACTTCGCTTACCGGCACAACGATTACCACTCGAAAACCTTTCTTCACCATCGGTTGCCAGTTCTTCGAGCTATATCACCGAGCCATTGCCACCTCAGCTAAATCGTTAGGCTTTATCGGTTTCTCTGGTTCTCATGCGGGTATCCTCATTTCTAAACTTATCACGCAGAGAATAAGGTTTCTCATACTGCCACCAATCAAAGACCACGCCTAAGATCCATGACTTGTGGATCTGAGGCGTGGTCCTTGAACTGGCCACATGCACTAGTTGTACAATCTTGTTTTCAAGTTTTGAGGTATACCTGACAAGATGCAGCAGAGTAGAATGCGTCGAATGACCTTCGGTCGAAGTTGGACTCAACTAGTCTGACTATTTGTACCAAGTGAACATACTCATCAACAACACGAACTTAGTGTTCTAAACTACTACCGGCATAGGTGAAACGTGGACGTTAACTAAGTATTCATTAATTCAAAATTATTAGCAGTATATTCCAGTCGCGAGATTCCTAGCTGAAAAGCACATTAAAAAAAACCGTTATGTGGCTGTCCTGCCGTGGACACGGTCGTGTATAGTTGCCGACACGAGTCGTGAGCACAGATAAACTGTGGGAGGTAGGTACACTGTCGGGCAAAATTATTGGGTACCTTTATTATTTCAATTCGTAATTGAATATTTTCGCCGACTTTTATGAAAATGTTTACTCGAAAACTCAACTTTTACTTTGATACAGTAATGTTGCAGATATTTGTGTCCGTTATTTTATTATCTACTATAAAGTATTTAATGTATACCTGGTGGTTAGAATTGATTATTTTATTAAGAAGAAGGAAGAGGTGATATGCCTTCCATAAAATCTGGTGTTGCAGTGCGCCGTACAGTAGCTACTGAGACATTAGTCGCCTCAGCAGTCTGTTTATATACGTCTATGATGTTTTTCGCAGTACCTAATTTTTCCATGTAACTAAACACTGAATAGACCATTTGTCGGGATTGTCTATTTTACAGCGAATTCTTCCCTCTCTGCATATTTAGATCAAAATCTGAACACTCAAATTATAACAACAAAAATAATTAAAAACAAGGTAAATAACAAAAGCAATTAATAACTAGGAATACACAAACAACAAATAACAACGAGGTAACAAAAACAATTAACGAAAATAAACTAATAAAAAAGGTTATCACTAAAATTATTGCTCTGAAGTGTACGGAAGCCGAATGATACGGTCGAAACCAATAGGCGACGAGAATCGACTGATGAACCAATCACGTTGAACGTCAGCGTCGCCAACGTCGTATCGACCAATAAAAAGTGTGCTCACGACTTATGTCGGCAATTATATTTTACGTGAATACGTGTACGTAACGAAACGCCTTCTACTGACGGCGCTGCTTTCACGGCGCGCGACGCCTCGCAGTCCTCATTCAACGCAATGAACTTTTTGATCCTATATCCATCAAGTGGTGTGAATAAATTTTGGATGTCGTTGATAGATATGTATGTAGCTGTAACACCAAACCTTATTCCCCGATTTTGTTATCATTAATTTTCTGAATTGCCCATTCATGTCAAATTGTTCAATGAAATATGTTATTAAATTGATAGAATCGGGCATTACTTTGCGGAAATCCATTATAATAAAAAATAAAAATATAAATTTCCTTGCAACCTTCCGCTAAATAACTTGTGTGCTAAGTGTAACACTTAGCGGTCAGCCGCCGTAGAGTCTACATTACCTAAAGATGCCTCGTGTAGAGGCGAAACACGTGTCGTATTATCGTCGATAATGTGTCTTACCTGGAATAGTGGTGTTGGGAGTAGTGGTGCTGGGACTAGTGGTGACGGAGTTAGTGCATGCAATTGAGGGAGGGCGAGAGGTGCTCTTCAATCCAGGTAAGACGCATCATTGTATTTATTTAGCGGAAGGTTGCAAGGAAATTTATATTTTTATTTTTTATGTTTTTAAATCTTTCGCATTAGACGGGTACAGTTGTACTTTTGCCGAAGTAAAGTAGTTATAAACTTATCATTTAAAATTATTTGTTTAAAACCTTCTCCACAATATGTTAATGTATCACTCTGTGGGAGTTTTTGGGATATTTATATTAAGCGAGCAGGCGGTCGACGACGAATATATCTCAAGTTCTTATAGCGCTTAAGCAGACACAACTTAAGGTTTATATCAACATCGGAAAACTAGTTTCGTCGTTTCTACTGATAGTTGAAATGTAAGTTGCGTCATTATACATATCAAAATCAAATCAAGTTCCCGAAAAACCCTCATTAAGGGTGTTTGAACAAAAGTGATCGGGCGGGACTGACCCGCTACTGCACTATGCTACGATGCTATGCTATAGTGCGGCAGTGCTGCTCACCGAAGCGCTCGAGCGCTGCGATCTCCTCCCAGAAGGCGTGCAGCGGCATGTGCGGCAGCAGGCCGGCCAGCGCACGTAGCGGGGACGGTGACATGCTATAGTGCTGTAGTGCTGCTCACTGAAGCGCTCGAGCGCTGCGAGCTCCTCCCAGAAGGCATGCAGCGGCATGTGCGGCAGCAGGCCGGCCAGTGCACGTAGCGGGGACAATGACATGCTATAGTGCTGTAGTGCTGCTCACCGAAACGCTCGAGCGCTGCGAGCTCCTCCCAGAAAGCGTGCAGCGGCATGTGCGGCAGCAGGCCGGCCAGCGCAATCAGCGACCGCGGCGCGTGCTCGGACGCCAGTCTCCACGGCACCCACAGCGCCACGTACGCGAACAACGAAAGCGTCACCACGTACTGGGCTGCACACATCGCGTCCGTTAGTTGCCAATAAAGAAAAACAAACTATCCTCTGCGACATTTACATTTTAAATCAACAGCTGTGACTCTATAACTGACAGATAGACGCATACATACACACTCAAACGCACGCACGTACGTGTCCATGCACGCACGCACGTACCGTCAAATAGCAGAGCGTGTTCAGCTGTGTCTCAGTCTGAAGGGTATATTTACAGGCTGCGAGAGCCAGTATAAGTACAGGCTGTGAAACATTTTAGCATTTGAAAGTCGCATTAAAACCAAATGTTTTGCTTCATCGTTCTTCATGCGTACAACAACGGAGTGGTATAAGCTGCCAGCGTTTGTCTTTCCATTCGATTAAAATGTGGTTGTATTCAAGGCAAGAGTGAATAGACTTTTGTTAAGTCAGTGCACCTTACCATCTTCGGCTGCATGGTGATGCATGGCAAATGGTGATTTGCCATCAGGTGGGATAGTAGTCAAGCGATGGCTTAGTATCTGTAGCTTTTTTTGTATGAAATTGAATGGTGGTGTCCGCGGGCTGCAGTAATCACTTAGAATAAAGTGGATTGTAAGTTCGTCTGTCATTTCAATATTTTTTTTTGAAAACTAGCGAGCCGCCCGGGCTTCGCACGGGTGATTTAAGAATTTTAATAACAGCGCCATCTGCCGAGCCTAATTGTGAATCTCAGTGACTTAAGAATCAATATAATAACACACACAAAATTTCATCGAAATAGGTCCAGCAGTTTAGCGAGTTCAGTCACATAAACACGGACAGAGAAATTATACAGGGTTATTTTGCAATAACCGGCCGAGTTTGCAGAGAAGGCACAGAATTATGATATGGGCAAATGGTGAAGATAAATTAATTAATAGAACATTCTGCCCGTGTTCCTTTTTATCTTTTAAATTCAGAATGCGTGCCAAGGCATTCTTTTAACTGATTGTCATTCATCAATATCTAACGCCTACTATTTTACTACGCACGCATACATTCATAAGGGTGGCTCGGCCGGTAAAAACTTTGTAAATTGAATCGCACAGAAAGGAGCGTGTGTATGCATAATTGTTGCCCATAAATCATATTACATTTGGGATAATTGCAAATAAAAGTAGAAGTTTCATTTTCTCGTATTTTCAAAAACTGCAAGAAAGATATATCATTGTTCATATACTTGACTTAAGTTTAAAATTTGGCTACTCTCTGAAAATTAACCCTGTATACCGATACTGGATGGTTTTTTCACTTTTTACACTGAAAAAAAATATGGTGTAACAGGTGAACGGAATAGAAGCCCTGATATTTTACAATTATTTTGCTTATACTTTAACATATTATGAAATTGAAGTATCAATAAATACTACTAATTTGAAATAAACTTTCAGTAGGTAATAAAAATATAAAACAAAAATTTTTACTAAATAAATAAATCAAAATAATACGCACATACTGTACATAGTACATAGTATTTATTAATAGATCAATTTCATATTATGTTAATGTAAAATATCAGTACCAAAACTTCTATTCCGTTCACCTGTTACAGACGGTAAAAAACCTCCCAGTATAAACATATAACATGTGGTAGGTAAAATATAAAAGATACTCACTATTTTTCACGAAGTAGCTGCAAGCGAAAGCCATAGCGATCACACTGACAAAATGCAGCGCCAATATGATGCAAATCAGCAAGGGATTGGACGAAGGTATGACAGGGTTTGCGGAGGCCGTCAGAAGAGCGGTGTTGACTACGCAGTACATGAGTCCGGTCGGCACGACGTTCAGGAAGTGGGAGATGCCCAGCGTGTTGCCAGACACACCCGACATTTTTATTAATTCCTGCAAAACAATAATGTACCCTTCCTGTGATATGGATAGACTAATCTATGACATTAAAAAAATGAAACTAATAAAGTTATTTGTACAGATCCAGAGACTATTAATTTTTTTTCTTTAATTTCCTCCCTTCTTGCTACATGCACATTTAGTCCAGCACGAAGTAAGCGTGCGACATTCGGTGAACAAAAAGGTTACTTTATTTTAATGTTTTTGATTATGATAAGGAAATAATAGATCTAAATAAAAAAATAGCCGATGTTGAATCTTATTCAATATTGCCTTTCATATTATCAAAAAATATGAAATGGTTTATGCTTAAAAAAATGGAAATTCGAATGTCAGTTTTTTGCCGGCAATTACATTATAATTTTTCATCATAATTCATTATTTAAAAAAAATTAAAAATCTATTATATTTAGAATTTAATTCAGTAATTCATATTAATACGCATATTTTTTCGAGTATCAATTCACGGACGTCAAAATCGAGTCTAAATACAACACTATATTTTGTTCAACCTGGACTTAAAGAGTATATAATTTAAAACTAAAACTTTTAAAAGTAGTTGCAATCTATTGATAATTTACGCAAATTTTACATCAATATCTTACGAATCCTATTGTCTTGAAGAACCCTAGTAAGTAATTGTCTCAAGTTACTACAATATTATTTTGCAAGATGTTGCTGTCCATTACTTCATCAGAAACAGAAACAGAAACTTTTTTATTCAACGTAGATTATAACAATACTTATTGGAAGTCACTTTTTTCATTTACCACTGGTTCACAAAAAAAACCTCTGTCCTGGGAAGAACCAGCAAGAAACCCAGCGGGACTATTGTTTTTTCAATAATAGCTTACAATTATGTTTACAATAAACAACACAAGACAAATTAGAAATAGCTTGGTAGCGATCACCCTTTCCAGGGGTTATTGTCATCCATAAATCTGACAGTTCATCAATTACTAATCTAACAGTTCAAGACACATCACGTTGTTATTGTAGTTAGATTTGCGTTATTATCGCAATTTCGGCAAAAGCCATTTTTCACGTGTGTAGCCACGCTGTAATATAGCTATTATGGTTGTAGCACAAATAGACTGGCTCGACCTCCCAAACCTCTACTAGGGCCACGAAAAGTTGCTTTCTAAATAAAGAATGAATTATATAATAAAGAAACGGATCAACAGTGAATATAACACAAATAGTTTTAATATCGTTAGCAGATCTTAATATTTTTAATACTTTATTGTATAAGATTTCCAAGTCACATCTAGTGACTGTTAGAAAGCGAAATTGATATTTACATGAAAAAATAGGACGAGGCATTACTATTATTTAATCAATTAAATTCTCAGTGTGAATTATATGTTCAGTGTATACAAAGTAGTAAAGAAGTCATGTTTCTGACTAATAAAATCTATGTTCTACATACCTCTATACCCGAAATGCGTTCTTCCAGCAGTCGTGACATGAGGAACACGAAGACTAGCAGCAGAGAGAGCCAGCACATCACGTTCAAAACTGCGCTTAATATCACAATAACTTGATTTCCATTATAGTTCATCATGACGTACGGGAACTCTTGCAGTGTTACTGTCTGTGAAATCATATGATATTCCTAGGTTAATAATCTCCATTCAGTAAAGTTGACATATACGTGTGGAGTACGGTCATCCAACCAGTAATAAACGAGTGTTACAAGACAGCGGTCGTTTCATTGCATTCACAAACACATCATTGGCGACGAAGAAGGAGTACCCACAATTAAAAAAAAAAAAAATGGCTTATCTGGGAAATCTGCCTATTTTTGACCATAAGTCAAGTGAATGGTCAATTTTCAAAAGCAGACTAACTCAGTTTTCGAAGATAAATCGCGTCGAAGAAGTGAACAAAAGTGGAATTCTTCTCACCCATCTTACGGATGAAACGTATCGCTTGGTACGAAACTTAGCGTACCCGCAAGACTTAGAATCTCTAAGTTACTCGAATCTCGTTAAATTACTCGACGGTCATTTCAAGCCAAAAAAATGCTCATTTGTGGATAAAGAAAAATTTTTTGGAGCAACCAGAAATCCAGGCGAATCATTGGGAGACTGGGCAGCGCGATTGAGAGGTCTCGCAAGCAATTGTGACTTCGGCACTGCCTTGGAAACGAATTTAAGAGATCGTTTCGTCCTCGGCCTGGGCCCTGGCCCGGAACAAGATAAGTTGTTCGAACAAGATCCGTCCACATTGACACTGTCAGTAGCTATGGAGCTAGCCGAGCAGGCGGCGTATGCCAGGCGGGCGAAGGTTATGTTGTGCACCAGCGAACATGCTACAATTAAGGAGGAACCGGTATACCGAGCGAAATTTCAAGGTCAAGGAGACAGCGGCGCGGTTATACGGCGTCCTAATGCTGGCAGGACATCAGGAGGTCGCGACCAACCGAGAGATTTTTCTCGTTGTTCGGTCTGCGGCTTGAAGAACCACCAAAGTATAAGTGCCGTTATAAAAGTTACAAATGTCAAAAGTGCGGTGAAAAAGGTCATTTAAAGAAAGTGTGCGATAGTATCAATAGATCGCGGATGTACCATATCGAGTCGGTAAGCGAACCAGAGCAGGTCAAGGACACGTCTTGTGAGGAGTGCCACAATTTTAATTTGAGGTATGTGACTGATAAGCCCATTTCAATTGATGTAATAATAGGTAATCAGTGTATGACAATGGAGCTTGATTCAGGATCAAGTAAAAGTGTGATTTCTTATAATACATATAAGGAAAAATTCTTAAAATATTCATTACATAGTAGTTCTGTAAAAATGTGCTTATATAACGGACACAAGATTGATCCATTAGGTTATATTACTGTAGAAACTAGTTACAATAACAGTACAAATTGATTAAATATTTTGTTGTCAAAAATGGGGGACCGCCTATACTAGGTAGGGATTTCATGAGCGCCTTTAATTTTGTGATTACTACTAAATTAAATTACATAAGAAATGATTCCGAATTGCATGAGTTATTAAATAAATATTCGGCGTTGTGGCGTGACGAGTTGGGCGCATTTAATAACTTTAAAGTCAGTTTGCAGTTGAAGGCGAATGCTGTGCCTAAGTTTTTTAAACCGCGTACTGTACCCTTTGCCCTCAGAGATAAAGTCGAACAAGAGCTAAACCGATTAATGCACTTGGGTATCCTTGTTCCTATTAATTATTCTCAATACGCCACCCCCATTGTGCCAGTTTTAAAAGATAATGGCCAAGTTAAAATCGCAGGTGATTTTTCTATTACATTAAATAAGGATCTCATAATAGAAAAATATCCCCTGCCTCGAATTGAAGAGGTTTTTGCCAAAATTGGGGGGGGTGAGCACTATAGTAAAATTGATTTAAAAAACGCTTACAACCAGTTCGTCCTAGATGACGCGTCTCAGGAGCTCACGGCAATTAATACGCATAAAGGACTTTTTAAATACACTAGGTTAGTGTACGGCCTTTCTAGTGGTCCAGCCATTTTTCAAAGGAGCATGGAGACACTCTTATCAGGAATAGACGGGGTAAGCATATGGCTTGATGACATTTGTGTCACGGGCCCCGATAGAAATTCCCACATGCAGCGGCTAAGTAAAGTCCTAGATAGACTATGTAAGGCAGGCCTACGTTTACAAAAAGACAAATGTCAATTTTTAAGAGAAAGCGTCAGGTATTTGGGTTACGTGATTAGTAAAACGGGATTAAGGACTTGTCCGGATAAAGTACAAGCCATTCTTAGTGCACCGGAACCAAATAACGTCACCGAAGTTAAAAGATTTCTAGGAGTAGTCAACTACTATAGAAATTTTATTCCAAACGCCTCTTCTGTACTGAGTCCTCTACATGAGCTATTACGTAAAGATGCAAAATGGGAATGGGGAAAACGGCAGCGACAAAGCGTCGCAGCGATACGGCGCGAACTGGCGTCAGAACGCGTGTTGGCTCATTTCGAGCCAGCGGCGCAGCTAGTGCTGGCGGTGGACGCCGGCCCGACCGGTCTCGGCGCCGTACTCTCACAAAGGGCGGAGGACGGCATCGAACGCCCGCTAGCGTATGCATCTCGCTCACTTACGAGCAGTGAAAGAAACTATAGCCAGATACAGAAGGAAGCGACGGCCATTATCTTCGGGGTCCGACGCTTTCATCAATATTTGTACGGTCGCGAAGATCCTTTTATCCTGAAAACCGACCACAGACCATTGGTATCAATTTTTAATCCTAAAACAGGTATTCCTGTTACTACTGCGCTAAGACTGCAGCGATACTCAGTTATATTGTCCGCTTATAACTATGTCGTACAATATGTATCTAGCGGAAATAATATTGTGGCCGATTACTTCTCACGCGCTCCTGTAAAATGCGTCAACGAGTCGTTGAACGATATAGATACAAACGATATAGACACGCATTATGCAGTTAGGTTTCTCGATGCGTCATCGCCGGCCATTTCGGCCCGCGACGTTGCGCAGACGACGGAGCGAGATAGGACGATTAAAACCGTGCTTAGGTACATGCAACACGGGTGGCCGCGTAAATTAAAATGTAAATCTATTTTACCTTATTTTCATTGCAAGTCCGATTTACAATATGAGAATGGTTGTCTTTTTAGGGGACATAGGATTGTTATACCACTCGGGTTGAGAGATAGAATGTTACGCGAGCTTCATGATTCTCATTTAGGAATAACCAAAACTAAATGTAACGCTAGAAGTAGAATGTGGTGGCCCGGTATTGACCGGGACATCGAACGCTGGATCGGATCATGTGCGACGTGCGCAAGCGTGCGGGCCGCCCCGCCGCGCGACCCTCCCGCGCCCTGGCCTCCCTCCACCGCGCCATGGCAACGAGTGCACATTGATTACATGACTGTAGGACAGAGGGTATATCTGGTAATCGTCGACTCCTACAGTAAATGGATAGAATGTCTATACATGCATAACGGAACCTCATCTAATGCTTTAATAACAAAATTAAAGGGCGTTTTCTCTAATTTTGGAATACCAAATGTTTTAGTGTCCGACAACGATGTAAAAATTAATTCACTCGAGTTTCAGACATTTTGTTCATCGAATGGCATAAAATACATGACGTCACCCATTTACCATCCGCCAAGTAACGGTCAAGCTGAGAATTCAGTAAGAACATGTAAAAAAATGTTAAAATGTTTATTAATTGACAATTTACCTTTGCACAAAGTTCACGACATGTTATTAGGGTACCTATTTAACTATAGAAATACCGTGCATTGTACCACGGGTGAAACGCCGGCAAAGTTAATGCTCGGCAGAAATTTGCGGTCGCGTCTCGATTTGATTTTACCCTTAAAAAAATCATAATTCTAATTCACTTACGGCAGCCGGGAAAAGATCTTTTGAAATCGGCGATATCGTTTGGACCCGATGGTACAGTGCACGAAAAGAATCTTGGCAGTTAGGTAGAATAAAGGACAAAATAGGAAATAAAATGTATAAAATTCATATTAGGGACATGGAGGTTTGGTGTATTAGACATGTGGATCAAATTATTAGATATACGGGTTCAGACAGTAGTCGCGACGATATTGTCGCTGCTGAGGAGACTCGTTGCCCCTCCACATCGCCGGCTACTGTAAATGCACACCCTCCCGCGCAACAGCCTATGTTTCCGGCTATAAGTAATACGGAGCAAAGTATGGAACAGGCTACGAATATGCAGACGGCTGAGCTGCAATCGCCCTCGAATACTGGAGCGCCGAATCTTGGTTCATCTGACCACGGTGAGGCAGAAGAAGTAAGTGACTGTGAGACTAGGGAGTATGAAAAGGACAACATTGCCCCCGTAGAAAGGCCTATGGCAGAAACGGAGGCTGTGCCGTCCACAATTGGCGATTCCCATGTACCGCCAACATTGCCACTTTTAGCCACACGCCCGAAACGTACAAGACCAAGGGTGGATTATAAAAAGTATTTTTAAGTAGCGATTGTTAATTATAGTTACGCAGAGATCAAGTTCGCTAATTATTGTTAATAGTTATTATTAGTTGTTAAGTTTATGTAGACAAAAATTTTTACTGTATTTAATTAAGAAACCTTGTTACCAGGTTCCAAAATTAAGTGGGGAGGAATGACATATACGTGTGGAGTACGGTCATCCAACCAGTAATAAACGAGTGTTACAAGACAGCGGTCGTTTCATTGCATTCACAAACATATCAAAAGTCCTTTTATTTTTATTTTTAAAAGCGGATTTTTATGAGACGATCGCGACATTTTATGTATCACTGTCCGCAGTCATCCTTTTAAATTTCTCAATGTGCTATTTCAATACCAAAGAGAGCACAATCGTAAAGGAATAATTACAGAATCGTCCCGATCTATCCCACAGACACTGTGCAATTTTCGTGGATAAAACTAGGCCATGTCACTTTCTGGCCCATTAATTATCCCTTAACTTTTTTATAAATATTACTCTAAGCCAGCGCTTAACTACAAAGTCACCTGATGGTAAGTGGTGATGTAGCCTAAGCTAGTGAAACGCACTGACTTAACAAAAGTTTATTTGCTCTTGCCTTGAAGACACCTATATTGTAATCGGATTGAAACACAGATGCTGGCAACTTATTCTACAAACGCATAACGAACGATGTAGCCAACCGTTAGGTTGGAATGCGTGGTAAGTCAACAACGAAAGGGTGGAGACTGCCGAACGTCTGATTGTACGACGGTGGAAGGGAGAGGGAGGTATTAAATTATGCAATTCCTGCGTACACTCTCCGAAATGAATACTGTAGAAAACCGAAACGCAGGCTACTTTGCGCCTGTGTTCGAGGCTGGTAAGATAGGTTTTAATCAAATTTGGGTCATCAATAAGCCTCTTAGCACGCATTATCATCATTAAGTCCAAAGCTGCTAGATGGCATTTTGCAGCACCAGCCTATATATGGTAGCAATACTCCAGGCACGACCGGACTTGCACTTTATATAAAGTAAACAGCTGTCCCGGCGTGAAGTATTGTTGCACCTTAGCAAGGACTCTTAGTTTCCTTGCAAGTGCTTTGGCCTTGGACTCAATGAACCGCCCGCTGTTCAGATTTGAATTTTGATTGAAGTGATAGATTTCGGAAAGAAGGAGCCAAGATGCGCTGGCTACTTTTTAAGTGAAGAGACACGCTTGTGTTTTGGAGACGTCGAATTACACAAAATTGGCATCGTCCCATTCGGAGACTGCCTGTAGTGTGAGATTCACACGCTCTACCATAGCTTCTCTTTCAGACTGGATTTGATCCCGACTAGCGCGAGATGGTTGGTATCTCTCCACAATAGTGCTATCGTCTGCATACCCATAGATAACGGGCATAAGCGGGTCATTTATATACAGCAGGAAGAGAGTTGCGGAAAACGGACCCCTGAGGAACACCGGCGTCAGTCGCTATAGGATCGGATGAGCAGCCATCGACGACGATCCGGAGGGACCGTTCACTCAGAAAGTCCTTTACTCAGTCAACCAGACCAGGGGATAAGCCGTACGCTGGAAGCTTACCCAAAAGTCTAGCGTGCCAAACTCTGTCAAAGGCATTCGAGATATTAAGGAAAACAGCAAGTACCTCCCCAGTTCTCGAGTGCCTCGCCCCCTATGTGTGTGTACGCTAGAAGATCCCCAGCTGATCGATTTTGGCGAAACTCGTATTGTGGGTAACTAAGGAGTTCATTCTATTCTAGGCATGCCATTAAGCAGGCGTTCAATATACAGACCATAATCTTTATAATATTACTAGTGTTCTGCACCTGCTTTGTTCGGGTTGAACAATTATCTATATTAAATAATATATAGATTAATATAGTTTTTGATCACCTGGTATTCTTTATTTCATTTAAGTAGTACATTTCGTTGTAATACCAAAAGTTATTGTAGTGGTAATTTTGAAATGAAATAAAACAACCTGTACAAATGATATTGCCACAGTTTTATTTTATTTTAAAGGGCATTCGATGGCATTATGTATAGGATATAGTTACAACCAACTGGCCGCCGTGACTCCGCTGTAGACGATGTATTCTGGCAGACCAATTTTGGACGAGATCTTCGCATAAATAGGGCTCAATTTCATGACGAACGCGAAATATGTTGAACTTCAGGGCGGCAATTGTCTGTGGTTTGTCTGCATGGACCAGAGATTTCACGTAGCCCCACAGAAAATAGTCGAGTGGTGTTAAGTCACACAATCTCGGCGGTCAGTTGAAGTCGCGACCACGCGAGATGACGAAGCCCTCGAACTTATTATCTAGCAAACTGTTATGCCCCATTTACACTCATCCACTGTCACTGGTCCTGTCGCTGCCGGAAATATTTCGCTAAATACTCCTGCGACAACAACGACGCGAGTGGGTGTTTACACTCAGCCTTCATACTTCTTTACAGATCAACTCGCAACAATGACTGACGTCGAATTTGTTGGCGTGACAGCATTATGTATGCTTAGTATAAGTAGCTAATACGTGCAATTTATGGTTTTTATTATGAAGATCCTTTATTACCCGCTGCATTTTATACAATTCTAAAAAATTATTGTTTTATCATTAATAAATATCATTTAAAACACTGGACAGATTAATAAACGAATTGACGTTTTTAAACGTAGCACGTTCTTTCTCCGTCGAACTTCGGCGGCAAGTGAGTTGAATGTGAACACTCACTGCCGCTCGTGCTGCCCGTCCTTTGACTTCCGCACGAAAAACCGACAATCGAGGGATCGTCGGGCTGTGGCAGCGGCAGCGGCAGTGACAGCGCGAGTAGCCTGTTTACATACTGCCCTGCTCACTGCCCTGCTCACTTCCCTGCCCAACAGAGCTGAATGTAAATGGGGCATTACAGTAAGTGTTTCCCGTGCAGTGTGGCAAGTGGCGCCGTCACGTATAAACCACATGTTTGTGAGGTCTATACCATCTATATTATCTATAAAAATGTGTTATCATCGTCCGATATCGGTCGCTATTGAAAGTGAGCACGGCTCCCTGCGCATCTTCGAAGAAATAAGGACCGATGATACCGCCAAACAAGAATCCACCTCAACCTGTGAATGTTTCGAGGTGTATAGGCACCTGATGAATCTCCCGTGGATTTTCGTCACCCCGAATCGGGCAATATTGTTTGTTTACAAAGCCACTCAACCAGAAATAAGCCTCATCACTTTTTTCCGAACGCAAGGTCGGCCGCCAAATGCTCTAAAGCAGTGCCTGTACGTCAAAGAAACGCTTTGACTTACAGGCACTGCTTTAGATCGGTGTTGACCTGGTTCTTTCAAATTCATTCAAACGATGGATTTTGGACTCCTCAGGACGGCCATAAATGCTATAAATTGGACGCAACCCACGCGAACAGAGCACTGATTTTGATAGTAAATTTTAACAATTTTAAAGCGTTATAGAAGCGATTGCCGTTCCCTAAATACGATTTCTTGTCAAATTTGACAGCTATAGCTTTACCAAGATGCCCGCTATACGCTGTCAAAGTTCAAGTATCTCTTTTGAAAAACTCTTTAGTATTTTTTCTTTATCTCCGGCTCCACATAACTTGCTCGACGACATCCCCACCACCGCCGAGCCCAACGTCACCATAATTATTGCGTCGCGCGAGTTTTTATATAAAAACTAGCCGTCGACTACGCATAATGCTCATGTCCTACGCGGGCCCCGTCTTTGCCCACGCAAACCCTAACATTTTAAATGAACTCCAAATAGTTCAGAACCTATTCTGTCGTCGAGCTGCGAACGCACCGTGGTACGTTCGTAATGCCGACCTTCATCGGGACTTAGAGCTCCCAACAATTCAACAATTTCTTAAAAAACTCTCTGAGAACTTCTTTAAAGCCTCAGAGTCGCACCCAAACCATTTAATTCGTGAGGCAGCTTCTTATGCAGCCCCACCCCCTCTCGCTATCGTGTCCGCAGGCCGAGAAACTCTCTCTCCGACCCGCCTAATAAACTTTCAAACGACCTGAACTGTCTCCTGGCGGCTCAGGCCAACTCTAATTAAATAAAATTATTGTAATACCTGACATTAATTTGCCTTTGTAGGCACTCCCTCAGCGGCACTTAGCCGCCTGCGCCCTCTTTTCCCAAAAGAGGGTCGCTCATGATAAGGCACAATAGAGCTTAATCAGCCGGTTGCCTGTCCCCAAAGGCGGTTTTTAGGGGGTATCACTTAGGGTCCCCGGTAGGACAGTGAGTCCCCCATAACCACGATAGACCGGCTATCGTGGTATGCGTAATGCATTTTCCGCCTCCCTACGTACAGGGTAGCCCTTTAATTGCTTCGGGCGCAAAAAAAAAAAAACGCATAATGCAGAGGTAGGGTTACTTAGAAGGTTAAAATGATTACTGTGAGTTATCCTTAGAAGATAGACATATATTATTTCGTGCAACTTTAACTGTTGACTCAGCGCACGCCGTTAAAGTTTTTAAAAGGCACGACTTTTTCCGACTTAGTTAAAGAAAATCATTGTAACTTTTAGCCATAATTTATATATACACATAATATATAATCTATGAACGTTGGAGTAATGCACCTTTCACACAGTGAAAGAATTATTCAAATAGGCGCAGTGGTTCCGGAGATTACCCACCACATAATAAGTGGTAAGTAATCTCCAGTATATTATACTGGTGACCTTTATTAATTACCGTTAGGAAAAAATAGGGTGTAACATGTGAACAGTGAAGAAACCTATGGCACTGATATTTTACAAAAAAATTTGAATTATATAAATAAATAAATTAAGATCTATCAAAATTTAAATCATATCCACCTTAGCCTGTGAAGTGACAAAATCAAAGATGTCTAGGACTAAATTTAATGTTTTATGCCGTTCGTAAAGTAGGGTGGATAATACGTTGTTATTGGGTTAAGAATCAAGTCATTACGAAATTACCTGGATACGCAGACCTGGTATTACAATAACAGCCTATTAAAAGTCAACTGTTGAAAAGGCTTTCCTCATAGATATTTGCCACAGTTGCCGTGATTGGCAAGTGGGTTGGCAACCTCAGTTTGATAATTTTATTCAATTATTATCCCGGATGTGATTTTTTCTCTATCACCTCTTACGACACCCACGGGATGATATGGGGTACTGGTTATATTAAATCGCAACTACACTGTTGGACCGGGTATATTGATCACTGCAGCAGTCAAATTATTTGATATAATAAACAATTAAAAAGTACCCAGTACACTCACTTGGTTAATATTAACGCCCAGCAGCTGCAAGTAGCTAGTGTCGATCGCCCATTGAAGACGCATAAAAGGCTCATAAATAGTACCTGCAAATAATGCAATTTACGTTACTATTTGATCAGAGTTTTTCAGAATCAGTTATACATCTTCGTATTTCAAAAAACATTTGTGTACATTAGTGGTAATTCATTAAATTTGAGCTACCTATACAAACTTAAATATCCCTTTATGTTTTTTAGAATAAGAGCGACAAATGAGCACACAGTCCACCTGATGGTAAGTGGTTGCTGTGGCTCATAGGCACCTACTCGTACATCTATCCTTAATTAAGAATCGGAATGCAGATGCGTTGTCACTGTTAAGGACTAAGAGGAAATGCCTCATTTCCAGTAATAAGGGTCTCCGGTTCTGTACACTCACCATACGAACACAGCAGCATTAAGCTGCTATTTTGTGAAAGCGTAGCTCTTCCCCGGTCGATCCAATCCATTCGTGCTCCAATCAAACCTATCAAGCAAGCTATATTATTATTATTTTAATATGTAAAATATAGATAAGTATCCAATACCTTGACATACCTTTTATCACTCCACAAACAAAGAAACATTTGAAATCACACAAAATTCAGAGTTTACTCTGTCACAATTGTTTGTTGGTAACATTTTATAATTCTTTGAGTGAGACTATTTGGTCACATACTATAGAGTGTTTTAGATTGATTTTAGTTGAAGTTCTTTTTATTTTTACTCACCTGTGATGAGGAAGATGCTGCTCACTTTTTTTACAGAAAGGGGCAAAAGAGCATGCGGCTCACCCGATGGTAAATAACGATCATGAACAACTGCAACACCAGGGGAATTGCAGGGGTGCGTTGCCGGCCTTTTAGAAAGGAGTTAGCTCGTTTCTTGAAGATGCCTAGATTGTATCGGTAACCGGAAAAATCGCTGGCGGTAACGTAGTGTTTACGTGGTAGAGCCACGCTGCAGATATATTATGGTTGTAGCACGAATGGGTCGGCTCGACCGGGGAAGGACCACGCTCTCACAGAATACCAGCGTAAAATAGGAGCTTAATGCTGCTGTTTCGTATGATGAGTGTAGAGAACCGGAGGCCCTTTTCATTGGAAACGAGAAATTTCATCTTAGACTTAGGGTGACAACGCATCTGCATGTTGATTCGTAATCTCGGATACATGTTAGATGTCTATGGGCCACAGCAACCACTTACCATCAGGTGGACTGTGTGCTCGTTTGTCACCCTTATCCTATAAGGAAACCTCATATTATTCACTTACCAAATCTCTCATGTGGTCCCACACCGCCGTCTTGCGGGTTATAGAGGTGAGTCATGAAGTCCGCCTTTATCCGGATAGTGTAGTTCAGGTTTTTTGGCCAGGTGCCAGATATATCCTGAAATTATACACATTATATGATACATCATTCATTCCCAATACCACGGTTAGTGATTGTCATCGTCATCACTGGCACATCACAAGTCCTCCGCTGAATAAAGCCTCCCTCAAGGCTGCCACAAAACACGGTCCTTATAGACCTAAGCCGTCTACTTCTTTAAATGATGAATATCTTATTTGAATGTCACTTTTTACAAGTTTAACAATGACTTAGTGCATGCGATTAGCGATGTATTGAAGATGTGCCAAATTGAGAGTACCCTTCACCGACGAGCATGTATTTATGCGTAGGTACGAGGGTGGATATGAAAAGTACTCGGTCCTAACCAAGAAAATAAACACATACTAAATCAGTTATATTTTTATTTTTCTACATAATCACCATCAAGTTCAATACACTTTTGCCACCTCCCCTTCCAAGCATTTAGACCGTTGAAAAAAAAAATGATTCTTCCTTAGAGTCAAAATATGCGTCTACAGCTGCTTTGACCTCGTCGTTTGTCGAAAATCTTTGACCTCCCAAGTGCTTTTTTAGGTTAGGGAACAGAAAGAAGTCTGATGGTGCCAGATCAGGTGAATACGGCGGATGCGGTAACAGTTCAAAGCCACAGTTGTGAATTTCAGCCATTGACTGTACTGACGTGTGAACACGGGCGTTATCTTGATGAAACAGGACTTTTCTTCTGAGCATTCCTCGACGTTTTTCTTTTATTTCCTCTCGTAAACGACGTAGTAAGGTGCAGTAGTAATCAGAGTTTATAGTCTGACCCCTTTCAAGATAATCAATCATAATCACACCTTTCGAGTCCCAGAATACTGAAGCCATCACCTTATTTGCCGACAAAATCGACTTAGCCTTTTTAGGGGGTGGTGAACCAGGTCTTCTCCACTGTTTTGATTGTTGTTTTGTTTCCGGTGTACAGTAATGAACCCATGTTTCGTCCATAGTAACAAAACGATTCAAAAAATCATCTGCATCGGCTTCAAATAACTCCAAACAGTCGCGTGAAATAGTCAATCGCGTCCTTTTAGTTAAACAATAACTGAAAGCAGTCGCGGAACCCACCTCGCAGACACCTTGTGGATACCCAACTCGTTGACAATGATATTTTGAATTCGTTCATAAGAGATGCCTATAATCTCGGCTATCTCTCTAATTTTTAATCTGCGGTCTCCCATTATTAAATCAAGTACTTTTTTAATATTTTCGTCAGTAGTTGACGTCGAAGGCCTTCCAGAGCGGGGTTCATCTTTCACACTCTCTCTACCACGCTTAAATTCTGCTATCCATTTTTTGACGGATGAATATGACAGAGCACAATCGCCTAATGTACTGACCACGTCATCATGGATGGCTTTTGATGATAGCCCCTTCTTATGGAGGTACCTAATGACGGCACGCTGCTCGATTTGCTCCATTCGCGGAAATTATGTCCGATTACTTTGTTAATAAATTTATAAAATCACAACTAATTATCGCACACGTTTCGAACTTCACACAATGAACTAGTCTGAACTGAACTAAATAATGTGGGTAGATTTGATTTTTAGAATTGAATGGATCTGTGTTAGGCCGAGTACTTTTCAATCTACCCTCGTATATAGATGTAAGGGAGGTGTCAGGATCGTACCAAAGAGAATATAATCACTTTTTACTAAAAATATTATCATCTATACCCGGGGTGGCGAACCTTTATGTATCAACATAGCATTTTTCTAAAGAAATGTTTAATTAGGTAATAGACGCGAAATAAAATAATTTTGACATCGTGATTATGGGGAAAGTAATACTACTAAATACTATCGACTCAAAACTCTTTATTTACTACAAAAAATAAATAAAAAGTTTTGGGTTGAGACATTTACATATATATTATACATTTTTCAATGTATAAGAATAAGTGTTTTTCAGTTATACGCGCAATTCAAATTATAGTAACATTAGTGTGACTTCTGTCGTTGTAGGTTAGGTGACAAATAACTTATATTGGGGTTGTAAAATATTAAATATAACACAAATGAACTTTTAAATACAGTTGTGTCAACAAAATTGGCTATTATGCTATGCGTAAATGAACTATGCATTCCCTGGAGGGAGGCGTGGACTTGTGAAGGGCTGTAATGTAGATGAAACGAACTATGCGTCATTACAAATAGTAGTCCACGATGTAACTACGATCTTACTTTGCGATCGGTGGCGTGCCCAAAATATTGAGTCGCGTGCCATTGGTTCGCCATCCCTGATCTATACTATAGTAAAACTCTAACACGACGATTTCTGTACTTTGAATTTTTTTTTAATTTGTATTGGTGTATACTATATGTTCGATAAAGATGCCAAAACAATATTTTTGGAAACGTTGTCCGTCTGTCTGCTTGAACACGCATCACGCAAAAACCCGTCAAACAATTTAGATGGGACTTTCACTATCTAAATCTAACCATTTTAATAATTACAATTCATAACGCTATCTATCACAGGAGCCGGCCAGTAGGCATAATCTTACCTTTTGCACTTACAAAAAGGATTAAAAATTACACTGTAGTGAGATTGAAAAATAACATTATACGATTTTTAGTTGTTCTTATATTACTCCTACCCATAGAATACATACATAATAGAACGGGAGAGTGGGCGGAGCCCGTGTAGCCACTAAAATGTCACTAATACGTCAATTCACATGTATAAACGCTACACGAGATGTGTTTTGACGTTACAATCGTTTCCAAAATTCGCATGCAAATTATTTAAAAAATGCCAAATTGCACCCTATTTACAAATAAATATGTATTAAAATTTAAACGATTATTTTTGATGATAGTCCTGAACATTAACCAAAAGTCTTAAATATTTAAATTTATTCAGTCTGTCAACACAGCGAATCGGGTTTGGCGACGCCAAACCTCGTACAAAGTAAAGTTGATAGCCATTCTATTGTGTATTATAGTATTCTATGCTCCTACCCATTATATTCTGAATATCATGGTTATTGCTTTAGTGCAATAATTAAGTAGTTACTACTTTTTTATTAGATGGCGCTGTAGGTATTTTTAAACAGAGTTAAGTTTTATATTTTATATATGGCTCACAGTTGAATATAGGCACTCTTAAATTACTGATGCTGATAGAGTTTTATTGTACTGACGTTTATGTTAATATTTGGATTACGTAATAAAATGCATGTTATTAATTTTTATTATTAATTCCTATACAAATTCTTACAATTAGACAAAAGCTTATTTTAACACAGAAGTCCTTTTTATTTTGATTTTAGCTCGATGCTTATTGAAAAACTAGCTTTTTATCCACGGCTTTGCTCGCGTGGGCTTCAATTTAAAAACATCCCCAAAATTAGTAAAGTTGGATCACTTGTAGACAGCTCGGTATCTGTGTCTGGATTGCACGTAAATTATTGAAATTTGGCAAAATAATATGGTACAGAAACACATAAGCGAGTTTATCAGAATTGAATTAATATCATACATTTAACAGTGGTAGAGCCACGCGGCAGCTTTGCTGTTGCACGTATGGGCCGGCTCAAACCGGGGTGGTACCACGACCTCACAGAATACCGGCGTGAACTGGAAGCTCTGCTTCCGCGTTTCGTCTGGGGAGTGCAGGTGGCCGGAGGCCCAAATCCCCCCCCCCCATCAACATGGTAGCAGAATTAAATAATGATAGATTACCCCAGGAGGGTACCAGCACCCCTGGAGAATCCTCGCTGAGCATCCACAACCATGTTTCTCCACTTCTGAGCGTGGGTGCTCAGGCTGCCCCGCGATTTCTGGGGGGGGGGGGGGGGGGGCAAAATTCCGCTCAAGACTACAACTGCTCGGGGCAAACGGAGCAACAAGACCAAGGCGACCCCTGCCACGCTGTCCGTGAATTTCTGCAATATCAGGGGACTTCACTCTAACCTAAACGCCGTACACTACCATCTCGAGACGGCGAGGCCGGCTCTGCTCTTTCTGACTGAGACGCAGGTGTCCTCCCCGGCTGATGTCTCGTATCTCTCCTACCCGGGGTACAAACTGGAACACTCCTTTGTGCCTCGGGCTGGAGTTTGCGTTTACGTCAGAGAGGACATCTGTTCTCGACGCCTCGGCAGACTTGAAGGTTCGGACCTGTCCATCCTTTGGCTACGCGTAGACAGCGACGACCATCCGCGCGTCTACGGGTGCCTCTATAGGTCCCATAGCGGTAATGCCGAAACAGACCGACTCTTCGACCACGTCAAAATGGCTGCAGATTCGTTGCTACAGCAGATCCCCTCCGCAGAGATCGTGATCCTCGGCGACCTTAACGCCCATCACGCCGAATGGCTTGGTTCACGTTTAACCGATCATGCGGGGAGATCTGTTCATGATTTTGCTTGGCATATGGTCTGACACAACTGGTTACTTCGCCTACGTGGATTCCAGATGTGGAGGATCATGCACCTGCCCTGTATGACTTTCTGCTGACCTCTCACCAGGATGGATATCAAATTTCCGTCGATGCCCCTTTAGGCTCTGTTGTGCCATTCACGCTTGTTGTGCCACTCACGCTGAAATCGCGGTTGCATTCTGCAGGCTGCCGCCGTGTTTGGCACTATAGGTCAGCCGATTGGGATGGGATGCGGTCTTTCTTTGCATCCTACCCTTGGGGGCGGGTTTGCTTCTCGCGGGATGATCCCAACGTTGTTGCGGATTCTGTTGCTGATGTGGTACTTCAGGGTATGGAACTTTTTATTCCTTCCTCTGTGGTGCCCATTGGAGGCAAATCTCAGCCATGGTTTGGTCGCTCCTGTAAAATAGCATCATGCCATAAGCAGGAGTGCTACCTAGCCTGGGCTGATGCATCAGCGTCACCAGCGCTCTAAAAAAGAAGTATAATTCCGCCTCTAGGTCCTTCAAAAGAGTCATTGCCAAGGCAAAGTCAGAGCACATATGCAGAATTGGCGAGAAACTAGTTCGCCTTCCTTCTGGAACCCGTGCATTCTGGTCTCTCGCCAAGGC